TCCTTATTACACCAAGTTCAAATTCTGGAACTTAATATAGGTAATGGGATATGGAAAACCTTTTTTAGTAACCTAAACTTTTTGATTGAAATTTGAATAATGTGCACTCAAGGTTGAGGTATTTTTATTTTTTTGGATCTTGGATATGATCATGTGGTGAAATGCTGCTTAATTCTATTTTCCCGGGCCGGTAAGATCATGCCTATCCGTCCCTACACACAACTATATTTAAGGTACTTATATCTATAGTGTTAACAACTTAAACATAGTTGATATGTTCATTTGGTATCATTTTTAGGGAATATTGGATTTTTAACAATTTGTCTATTTTGAACCTAAATGTGATCACAGTTAGTTGTATTCAGTTGAATCACTACATTATCTTATCATAAATTGGTTATTGTAATATTGTTTACTATTTATAGTTTGCTGTTGGTTATTTGTTCTTTCACTCAACTTAAATGCATCATTAATTATTATTATAAATTAAATAAACATTTTCAATTCAACATAATGAACAATGATTTAATTATTTTAAATGAGCAAATAAAAGAGGCTGGCAAAACTTTTATAAGTATTTTAAAACATTTTTGTTGATACTATATAATTTAAATTGAAATTGTTAAATGATTTAGAAGGACTTTTAAATGACATTGACTATGGAACAAACAGTATTTGTAGTCTATATGAGTGGGTACGGCTAAAGAAGTAATAACAATGAATTTAAAATTTACATCAGCGAAAAGGATCCTGAATTAATTTATCTTTTAGAAGATAAACAGGTAAACAATACTTGTTCTACAAAAAAATGTAAAAAAAAGTTAATACTTTTCTTGATAATGGGTGTATCCGTTTAAATAGAACACTCTACACAGGAACCCACTTATCACAGATAATTAGAATATTTAACTATAAATAATTTCTTATACACTAGGCCCCTAAAATAAGTATTACCATTGATTATAGAATATTATAATATTTCCATTATTATATTAATGATCATATTATATTCTATAATCAATATTATTACCTAATTATAAAACCACTAATTTAAAATAAAAATGAAGAGCTCAGTGCGACAACTTATAGACATCCAGACAAGTGCATTTTTTAAAATATTGTTCAAGTGAAAAAAGTTTAGTTTGGACTTTTCTGGTTTTTCTACTTACATAAAATATTAATTCAGATATGGAATTATTTATTCTATGTTAAGGGAGACTAGTCTGGTATTTGCATGTACATTAATTCAGACCACAAGTTTCAAATCCAGGCAAGTCCATTTTGACTACCTATATTGTGGTATATGAACAAATAGAACCCGGATCATTTAGATCCCAACCATACCTTTGGTAACAGTGTGGATCTAGTTGTCTCTTGGAATCAAATTATCATGTCTTGATCTAAAAGTCCAAATATCCAAATGTTATCAGTATATACAATTATCATGATAGCTCAAATCATTTTTGAACTTTCAAATAACATACCACTTCACAATAATTTTAACAATATGAACCCGGAACTCATTGTCATTTAAGTGCCACAATGTATTATATTGTTATGAAGTTAGAAGAATAATTGTTCATAAATGTTAAATTGGATATTAATTGTATGCATATCCAATTGTTTAGAAAAATATTCCCTTTTCGAATTTGTGTGTAATGGTAGGAACTAATCAAATTTTTATTTATAAACCATAAACTGAGGTCAACATAATAGGTAAGTAGGTAGTTTTAAATGAATTACAGTTACCTACCTATAATATAAAATATAAGTAGTATGAATAAATACAAACAATAAATAAAAACAAAAAAAAATTTTGAAAATTCCACCAATAATAAATTAATCCATATGTCTCTGTATGGCCGAGATCTAAAAACGTCGTGGATCTAAACGACTCGGGACCGTATTATCTCGAGATCCGAATGTCTCTGACCCGGTATAAGTTCTTATCGAATTCTTATATTATTTACCGGGGTCCCGATGACGCGGGATTTATTTGTCATGTTACCCCTATAATATTATCTCTGTTCTCCATAAGTATACCTATCGGACTTATCTCGTTCTTGCACACAATTGCCAAACACTGATTTTCTGAATAAGTCGGACTTGTCTAACTGTTGCACGGGGTCCTTCAAATGACAGTAAAAGGGAGAAGGGACTAACCTGTGCGCAGACACCGGCGGCGACACGGCTCCGGCAATAATTCCGCTGACCGCCGACCGTCTAATGACGAACGAGGAGCATCGCGTTGGCGTTTGCTTAATCGATTTCGCTTTTCTATAGTTTAATATTGACACTAGCCGCGTATCAAAAATACGAACTGCGACACGAATGAAAAATGTAAAAAGAAAAAAAAGGAAGAAAACTGCCACCAACAGAACACGTGCACATAACCGACACGGTGACAAACGATCACTGTCGCGAAAACGCGACCGGTTCGGCGGTTCCCGGAGGAGAAAATTGGCGTACGTGCCGAAATTGTAACGCGTCATGGCCGCGGGTGGGCCCGGTATTTCCGCAACGTCGTCAATGGGCCACGGGCGACGGGCCCACGGACAGGCGGACGACCGCGAGCTAGAGTAAATAGGGCCAAGTTGCACGAGGGCCGATCACGCGATTTTTCCCGCGGAAACGGACGGCCGTCTGACAACGAGTTAAAGCATTCGTTATCGTTCGGGGAAATATATGATGCGTATGATTGTTTAGACATGATGAGTAGAAAAACAAATCGCGAAAAAAACAATATTATCGTGGGTACAATAAAATTTGCGATTTTTTTTTTTTTTTAATTTCACAAAAATAACTGGCCATCTAAAGATCTCGGCTCACTGTACAGCGCGACATACGAGAAACGGCGAAATATACGTGTAAGTAGGTAGATAGATCAGTGGGTACCTATACGACCCGAGCGCGTAATGAGTCGTAATAAATCGTTCCTGTCCCAGATCCGGCGCTAACAAAAATCGACGGGAGGACGTGATTAAAAATTCGCCCACTTCAGATGGGTGCCAACTACTAAGTTTTCAGACTTTAGAAACGTTACTGTCCATTATATTGTTCTTCGATTAGTAAATACGTTTTGGCGATAATAACGTACTGCAATAATTAATTGGGTACCAAATAAAAACCAGAAAAAAAAAAAAAAAAAGAGCTGATATGCTGGGGACGGAAGTGCCACTAGCTGTTGTACGCCGGAAGTTGAGAAAATAGGATAGGTACATAAAGTTGTTTTAATTTGTATATGTACCTAAGCGACGATAAGCTTTTGCTAACGAAAAACGATTCGAAACGAAGTTCGATTACACGTGTTTTGAAAGGCCGTAATAGGTAATTACTATTTTCGTCAAAATTTGATATTAAAAATGCTAATAAGAAAATAAGTACAACTTATAATGAATCTGCTGTTAATTTTTAAGAATTTCTATTTGATAGGTATCGCATAAAAGTTGCCAAAAAAATGCCTAAAACTGACTAAAAGTCTAAAAGAAGGTAAATATAAGTTTTCCGTCCAAATGTCAATTCTCTACGAACATAATTACAACAAAAACACAAAACTGAAATTAATAATAGCGTTATTTTGTTAAATTTTCCCGTTTCCCCCCTACGTTACGTTTTTTCCCCGATGGCGACAAAAACTGATTGGAATAAAACACATCATTGTAAAACCAATGCATTCCTCGTTCCGCTCAGAATCGAAATGCAACAAAAAAGTTCTATTGTCGTCGTTTTTCTATTGGAGTAATAGTCTCTTAGTTTTCGAAAATTGAAAACAATGAAATCGGGAACGTCGCGGCACGCCTTAAACAATTGCGATATCTTTTCAAATTTTTCCAATTACTAAGAAGACCCCTCGAAAAATCAAAATAACGACCTCCCCAATGCGCCCACTGGACAAAATTTCCTTTCAGAAATGATGCTACGCTTGATACGTCTGAGCAATATTTCTGGTGGAGAAATTGTTCACAGACGCAACACAATAAAGCCCAATCAGTTCACTCGCGACGCTCCGTATCTGAAGAAACCAAGAAACTAAGATTTTTCCTTGAAAACTAAACAGGCGCGTTTTGTGAAAAAAATCGCTGCAGTAAACTGTACAAACTGGCGTAAAAATACAACACAGTATATCAATACTGATAATTCCTTATCACTTTGTAATCACAAACCACAGATATGTACAATAATATTACTCGTACAATATATCTGCGCCCATGGTTATAAACCACCATTATTTTATTCTGTGATTAATGACGCCATATTCGAACCAAAGTATACGCGCTTTAAACAAAATATCGCTGTGTATAATATAGAGTGTGAAAATATCGAGTGTATAACATTTAATCGAATCGGTTCGATTTGAAAAAAAACCCCGGCATCCGGCGCGGGTACCTATTATTAATGCGCGAATTAAAAATGGAAATTCAACTCACACACCTGTCTGAAACGTCATACCTGTTTTTTGTTGTTTTTCTATACGACCGTATGCACTGTAATCTACGGGGACCACCACACGTCCCGCGAGTAATAAATGCCGGGGACGAAACGTCCGTTAATTCGATCTTTTTACAAGGAGAAACGGCGGAGACCATAGAATCCTGTTACCGGTGTCCAAAGAGAATAGACTGTAATTGAAAATTATCAACTATCCTACACTGGATTATTGAAAAACTGCGTTATTAGATTGACGTAATTATCATCAGTGGCTTTGCATAGGTATCTGTGTGGTGCTGAAATAATGTTTATTCATTTACAGTTGTCAAAGTAAAAATATATGGCAGGTAAACCAGCCCGCAACAGCTGCTGCTGTACCAAAGGCGTTGTAAAAATTCCTCGATAGCGAAAAAAAAAAAAAAAAAACACTGATAAAAGAAATTAGGGCGCAGATGATAAAATAAACTAATAAACACACACAGTTGTAATATTCGTGATCCCGTAAGATTTTTGATATTTGATTTATGTATTAACATTTTCGGTAGCCGAGTGTAATTGTACGCCAATACGAGATGTTAATTCTATGCATGGTCGATATCCAAAACTTGGACGCAACGCCCTGGCAAAGGAATTCACGATTTTTCAGATCATGTGTGTTAAGTAAACAATCCAATGACAATTATTACATCTCCGTGAAAAATTCAAAGTATCCGAACTCGATCACCTATGACCTAGCAGAACTGGAAAATGTGCACCACAAATTTATTAAACAAGGAAAATTGGGATTGCGTTTTGAGCAACCTAACCATTTGGTCTTGATAAAATCCGATGACAAACCTTTGCTTGAGTTATTTTTAATGCAAATTCAGAACATTGTAATTAAAAGACCGGTGGTCATTGCTACGCGCCACATGCCCAGAACAATACCGCCTAAAAAAAAATGCGTAAACCGTTTTAATCCCATGTCTCGTGAATTTGTAGCTATTAATCGTTTTGACAACCGCGTATTGAATATGAAACAATTGAATTATATTGTTTTGGAAAACTGCGATGTGCCAAGTTTACCTATAGATGTTGGTAATTTACCGATTGCATATCTCAGCCTATCAAACAGTAAACTGGCTACAACACAATATGAACAAGATATCTTCTGGAATTGGATGTCAATGAATACAATCAGTAATACTTTAAAAACGTTGAGATTGGATCATGTCGATTTGAGAGTATTACCATTTGAAACATTATTTCTGAAAAACTTGGAGACGTTATCTGTGTCCAACAATAATCTGGTAATTTTTATTAGTACTTTTTGTTATTATTATTTTTTTCAGTTACATTTTATATAGAATGATATAAATATAAATATTTTACTCTTAATTAATTGTTTTTCTGTTAGTTATGCACTAAAGCTTATAACAATAATCATATATTTATACTTTTTAAAATATATTTATATTACACATTAGATATAGGTAGGTTTAATATATTTATGTATTATAAAATATAGTTTTCAGATCTAGGTATTAGAAATGGTTTTTTTTTTTTTTTGTACATTTAAGTTCTTATATTATTTTTGGTATTTACTATCAATATACTATCGTATATTATACGAAAAGTTTTTTGAATTTAATTATTAGAAATTAATTATTTTCCGTTAATAGTCTTTTTGAGAATACGTTGCCATTGTTTACCTAAATATTTAGTAAATGGTTTTAGTTATATTTTTATTATTTTGATAAAGAAAACAGACTGTATACGTACATTTATATAGTAAATTGTTAGTTATTTGTATAACATTATTTTAATAACCAACATTTTGTTTTTTTTCTAGACATTCTTGCCACAGTGCATTGGCGAGCTACAGAAACTCAAGGTGTTAGACGTTGCTGAAAACATGTTGAATTATCTTCCTATTAGTTTATACAATAGAACCTTTCAAACACTTAATATTTCATCCAATAAATTTATGCAACATGATTCTTTACTTTACGATCACATTCATTCATTTGTTCATTCAATTAACAGATGTATTTGCAGTGAAATTCAAACACCAGAAAATCCAGCAGTAAAAATGTTGAGCCACTTATCATTTTGTTCTTTACTCAAAAATAATGTAAAATTTAAAAGACAGGATTTGCCTCGTTCACTTTGGAAATACTTTGATTTGGCTGGTCGTTGTATAAATTGTGATCAATTTATGTTGCCTTATAATATTATTATAAATCACACCGTAGCTTACCCTACAGCATCAAATTTAATCAGAAATCAGGATAGTGGTTCTATACCATGGCAAACTATGGCTTGTCGTTTCAAATGTTTAACATATTCTTCATCTATGTAATTATCGTAAATCAATAATTTATTAACTTCATCAAATAAATGTATATTGATTCAGTTTTAAATATCCTCATAGATTATAAAAACAAAAGTACATTATATTTGTAATAATTTGTTTCTAATTTTTTTTTTTTTTTTTCAAATAATTATCAATTGTTTTTATCTAGCATTCCAATGGTACCATTTGTAGTTAAACGTGTTCACGAGACTAGTCAATTCTCATATAAAACCACCCCCAATGCTACCAAATATTAACTTATGCTATTAATTTTTTTTCATAAATAATAATAATAATTTACATACGAAAAAACAAACATGTTTTTACAAGGCAATTAATTAATAAATTAATGATTAATTTAATTGCCTTTATTAGTATTTAATTAAAATTTTACTATTTAGTTTATTAGTAATTACAATATTATAATTGTTTATGTTTTATAAGATATCTTTAATCCTTATAATATATTTGTGCCTGTTATGTGTATGTACAGTTTTAGTTAAGATAGAACAAATTGTTAAAAGAGAACATTATTTAATAGTTTCATGTTTAGAATTAATTTTATTAAGAAGTAATTCTAAATTAAGTTTCTTTGAAAATTAATTTTAAGGTTAGATATGTATTGCTACTACAGATATAATGCTGACTAATGTAAGTATAATTTGCTTGTGATCAATATTGACATAACATATTTTATTGTTATCTTTCTATCCAAACTCTGCATCTGTCAAATGCACACTTGTCAATACACATTTGTGTAATTTAAATGTTATTTCATTATAATTATAATTGTAAATTTTCTAAGACCATCCTATGTGTAAAAGTATTAAATTTATATCAATTTGTTATTATTAAGCACTTAATTTTTGAAAAAATACTTATCTAAAAGCACAATGGTTTATAATTTATAACTGAGTACAAATCAGTAAATAATTTACTTTATATTACATATATATATATATGTGTGTGTGTATACATTTCTTTTTAATACTATTAAATTACATTTATTAGTACCTATTTATATAAATCTTAAGGATTTCATGACATATTATTATCATACCTTTTTACAATTTTTAAAATTTAAAATATAAGAAATAATAAATAATTTAAATTTAATTTGTATGTTTACATTTCTTAAATATTATATAATTTTATTATACTTATATACCATTATAAATTATATATTTAATTTTGTTAAATCAAAATTATCTACTCGTTAGAAAAATATTAGTTGATTAAATAACTATTAAACTACTTTATTTGGCCATTTTTATATGTTATGCGATTATTTTATTAATATGCACTTATTATTACATTAGTATATACACCTATGTTATTATTATGCATGTTTTGTATTATTAGAAAAAATATAAAAATATAACATGGAAATTAGAAATATTTCTCAATTTAATTTATTTAATGTAAGAATAGTAAAATGTGAACTTTTAAATTTTTTAAAAGTAAATAGTAACTTTTATGTATCATCTTTGGTAAAATGTACCTAATTATATAGAAAGAAAGTGTTTAAAAAATCTATGGTATATTACTATTATTTTACACAATTTGCATTTACAAATTAATGTTATGATCATTAATATTTATTCACGAGTTATTTAAACTTTTTATTTTACATTTACATTTTTAAAGAAAAAATGGTTGAACGGGACAACTTTGAATATACAATGTGGGCCGAGGAAGTGTTTATTAAAAATAATTCCGTATGTATAACGTAAAATATGTACCTGTAATGTTTTATTTCAATTAAACAATTAAAACTTCTATGATTTATAAAACACATAATGTATAAGAGATCGATGTAGATTAAACCTATTTTATATTTAGATAGCTTTTCAAAAAATGAAGACAATTTTAGAACTGAAAAAACTTATACTTGTTCTAAAATCAAAAATTAATCTTGCCGAACAACAAATGACCAAGTTGAAAGAATATGTTCCAACATTCGAATCTATAATAAGTAAATCTAGGGAATATGAGAAATTAATTTTAGTTTTGAATAGTAAGTTAAAATAGAAATATTCTCTAATGATATATATAGGTATTTTACAGATTTTAATTATCATAAAATGCAATTCAACCATTTAATTACAATTTCTAATAAATATTTTGTTGAAAACAATATTGTTTATAGAAAAAATTGAAGATATCCAAGATAAAATAGAAAATATTAAAAAGGTAAATCAAATACTTGATGATATTTAGTACTACTTACTATTTACATTTAACATAATTAAGTAACTATGTATATATTGGTAAAATGGTAATTGAGTATTAAATTACAAAATAATTACATTTAATTTTTGTTATTTAAGGATATTTTGGAAGGTGAAAGAGTACAAAAAAATTCAATAAAAATTAATCAAAAACGGGGTAAATATCACATTCATAAAAAACAAAATACGTAGATATTCCATAATTTTAATTTATTTATATTGTTTGTTTTTAAGGTTTTTTCCTCAGAATATTTTAAACAATATGTTGTAATGTAGATTATATAATATAGGTAACTAATTTGTTTGTATATATTTTCTCTTCAATCTGTTCAGTGGTCTACTATATATATATATATATATTTTTTTTTACGTTTTCTCAAGTTTCAATTATAAAACTACTATTTGTGTTTTGAATTTAGGTTTTTTATTTAAATTGAACATTTTAATAGTCATGTTGAGCAAATTATTTTAATTGGTTTGCTACATTTTTTATATTCCCCAGAGAAAACTTTGAAGAAAATGTTATCAAATTTGTATGAAAACAGTTATGATTCACAGGAACAAAAAGAAAACAGATTGCATGAATTAGAAAAAGAAGCTAAAGAGTATAGTAATCCTTCTTATGTATTTAAAGTAAAACCATGTCTCTAAAATATTCAAAAGCTGATTAAAATCAATTCATATGAGTTTTTTTTATTAGGAGCGACAAGAATTAGATTACTATATAAAAGAATTTGAACTTTCAAAAGCCAAAAATATGATGCTTAAAGAGATGATGTCTATGAACATCAAAACAGTTGCCAATCAACAAAGATGTGATCCAAGTGTTAGTAAATAATCACATTTAAAGGATCAGTTATCAAATCATTATACTGGGTATGAAATAAGTCAGTCAACCACATTAAATCATCAGTTTTTAAAAACCCTAAAAAATCTTTCTATTATTTCATTTAATTTACAAAAATCTATGTATTATGTACCAATAGTTATAATTTCTGAGATATGTTAACTATTTAATAGGTATTTACCTTAATAAATAATGATTCTATTGTTCACTTAATTATTAGTATAAGATATTAGAGCACGGATTTTTATATAGGTAACGAAAATGTCAAAATTTGTAAATATTTATGTTGCAATTTTTGCCAAAATTTATAATAAAAACATAAAATATTTAACTTAAAAATTTATATTTTAAATTAATTTTTAATTATAATAATATAAAAAAAGAGTTTTGTGTATTATAGGTTTATTAAATTAGGTTAATGGTTTTTTTATTTTACTTATTCATCATCATCTTCTTGGAAGAATCTTCATCTACAAGATTGAAGATTATCAAATTTAAATGTATGGCAGCTAGGTCTTAAATTTGATTTGTAACGGCTGAAGGAGTGCTCAACGCCATCCAAGGATAATGAGGAATATTTCATACTTGATATACTATACAGATGGTGCAAATTAAATATCCATTGATGTGTTTTCATTTTTATTCAGAAGAATACTTTTAATAACTTTTAATATAATAATGTTTAGTTTCAAGAATTCTGTTAAATTTAATAGGTACCTACCTACATATTATGATACATTAGGATTATGCAAAATATTTACCAAATATATATTTACATCAAAATATGTAAAATAAAATTCTTATTTTATTCTGGGTGTAATGAAACGTGCTTATTTTTAATCAGAATTAAGAACTCTGCATTTAATAAAATTATTTACATAAAAATCCACGCCCAACTTAGTAGTTATATTTAGTAGGCGTATTACATTAGCTTTTGCTTTTGACCAGTCGAATATTGATTAAAAAAAAAAAGTACTCAAGTTAAATTATTTTTGAAAATAAAATGTTGACATTTTATTTATGATAGACTAGAAGAAAAACATGGCATGAGCATTTATAAACAATCATTTCATAGGGAAGATTCATCCATAACTGCCCTGCTAAGGAAAATGGCCGTAACTCAAAAATAAAAATGAGTTAGCTATGACATTTGATAGGTACACCAATTATACACATTTTCTGTAGAAAAAAAATCTTAGAAATTGCATTGAATACCTAGGCTAAAAACATAATTATAAGTAGTTATAGAAAATGCCGTAAGTAATTGCTTAGCATTTTTTCCTAAATGATAAATAATTATTTATATAATTGTGTATTAAGAGTTTCTAAATTGTTATCATTTGGAAAGTTTATGTATTGTTTCTTATGAGTTATAACTAATAATAATTTTATTTTGTTCCGATTAAAAATTAATTATTAGTATATTTATGATTGTTGTAGTGAACGTTACATTTTCCTTAGTAAGTACTATTTTATTATTATATCATAGCGTTCCTCACCAAAAATATTATTCAGGCGGATATGATTTAAATTTGTTTTATGAAAAATTTAATAGAATAGAAACCAAATAATAAAGGTGTAAATGAAAAATTCAGAAATGCATTTTTCTCAAAACTAATATATTTGTTTTTATGGAAATTTTGTTTAGCAGGGCAGGGTAGTATTTGGACCATTTTTTTTTAATTTTCTAATAAATTCGTCTAAATTATTGGCATTAAAATAACACCAGAACGTCTAAACTACAACTTGATATAATTAGTTACAATTTTAATAAAAAATTGTTTTATTTTTAAAAATATTTATGAAGTGGTCCTGCAGAAGAGACCAATTGCTTAATTTGTTCGTTTTTAATGTTCAATTGAAACATTCAGATTACATTCTTACAATCAGTGAAATTTACTTTAATTAATCTTGAAATTTGTCAACATCTAACTTTTAAAACATGTTAGTTCTTTACTTACCTTTTTTAAAAAATTAGTTTTAAATAATTAAATGCCAGTCCAACAGGCGAATCTCCACTACAATATTTACTAGTGGAGTATTCTAAGGGAGAAAATTCTTGAAACAGCAGCGTTAAAGGCACAATCTGAGCCATTTTAAACCATTCCAGGCATCAATTTTTAAGGCCTGTGGATGATTTGAAGGATTGATTTCCTTACCCATATTGTTTTATTTTTTTTACAACTCTAAGTAAGCAAAACATTTGAAAATAAAACAACAACAAGTAGTATAATATTGATATTGTTAATTTTCTTTAGAGTTTTATATCTAGCTTAGCGTCTCATAGTTCTAAAATACTTTGTGCCTCAGGGCAATACTTCCATTATCCCCTTTTTAACACTGCCAGGGGTTGAGCACTTTAATATAATTTTACATTGAATAAAATTGATTAAGTTATGAAGTTTTTTTTTTATGAGTTTTCACATGATCCTTTTCTTTTAGTCCAAGTTATCAATATTGTTGTATTCACTTCTGGTACATTTTTTTTTTTTATGTAAAGCACTTTTCAAAAATATTTTTTTTTCAACTTTTTAGTCATAATCTAAGAAAGTTGTTACAGAATATACCTTATATATAGTGTAACATATATAATGAAAACGAAAAAACTATCAAATTATTGATTGTTGTATTTTTGTCATAAATGAGTGAATGTGAAATTGCAAACTGATTAAACTATGTAAAATAGGTCAAAAATGGACGGCAAGATTTCAAAATAAGGTTCAAAGCAAATAAAAAAAAAAGGATATAAAAGTAAATATATTTTTAAATTTAAAGTACATTATACTATTTTTCTAAAGAAATTTGAATTTAAAAATATTTTTAATAATTAGTATTCAAAAACTAAAGCTATGCACTAATTATTAATAATTCTTAATATTTACTTTTAAGTTCGTACATACAATTATAAACATTTGCATATTTAACATTCTGAAAAAAGGTTTATTTAATAATAAAACAATTATTGATTTAGTTATACTTATTATTTATTTAACCATTTAAGTATTTTTACATATTTCACTGACTTATAATATATTTTTTGGATCAATTGACCAAATTTCGAAACCTTATTTATATATATATAAGTCTTCAAAAGTCTTCAATGTATGGTGCGTCAAGCTTTTCAAACCAGCCAGCCAAGTACTAACATTTTGACAATATTATTCATTTAGCAATAGTATTTCCTACTAAAAGAAAAATAATAAAATAGGTAAATGGTTTTTCATTAGTTTTGTTCTTAATAACTAAAAATAATAAAAACTCAGTCAATTTTGTAATTGCTTTTTTACAGCAGCAATTTTTAATTATAAATCATTCTATATATATATACATACTACTTTGTTAAGTTTTTCCATTAAAATTAACTATATTCACAATACAACTAGGTAATAGAAAAAAATCCTGTATTTTCCAATTTGTAATAAATTTTAACTTGAAAATTATGAAGAATTCCCTACCGATTTTGCCTGAAGAGTTCTCACCTATTTGAAAAAGCAATTCCAAACCAGCTTAAGAGATTTTCAAAGTGAAAGAGACCATATTCAATTTTTTGAAAATCTATAGAAATAGGAACTTATCAATTGAGCTTCTGTTTTAAGTCATCGAGCTCATATAAAATAACCATTTTAAAGAAACTTCCGTTCAACAATTTTTACACCAAGTTTCCTGAAGGCTTTTCCAAATCTGAAAAAATGTGCATGAGGAATAATTTCAATATTTAGCTTCACCTAGTTATTATGTGAACAGAAGTTTTCAAAAATGAAATACGTAAAAATCTAAGTAAAGATCCAACTTAATTGAACATTCACAAGCAACGCTGTTAATTAGAATGATAAAGTTTAATACAATTTATCAAGAAGTTTTAAAAGACAAGTAATTCCAAACTTCTGTTTATAAGTAAACTTACTCATACCAGATTTTGAATTTTAAAAACACTTTACTAAAATCTAAATAAATTGTATTTGTTTGAATCTTTTCTTCAATTACTTCTCTATTGCTCTATAAAATGTTGGCCCGCGATACCAAAGCATATCTCAGATTTGGCCAGCTGTAAAAAAAGGTAGGAAACCACAGATATATTATATATCATACTTTATTTTGTTTGTTTTAAATTCAATATTGAAGTCTTAAAATTTATTTTCAAACTGCATATATTTTGTAGAAATGCTAGAATAATAGGTACTGATTAAATCAAATGAAACAAAAATTTGTTTATATGACCTTTTGTATAAACTACATCAAGATACTTAACATGATGATTCACATAAATTGCACAAGTAGAATTTATTCAAATCAAGACTTTCATAGGAAGTATAAACACTATTAGTCATATAGGTAGGAATATGTCAAATAAAATATAAATAATAGGACATAATAAAGTATGATTACTACCCATAACCATATAGAAAGTGAAATTTCAGGTGTCTCATAAATTAAGACTTGATATTAATAATCACACTTAATAGTTCAAAAAAAAAAAAAATAATAATACAAGTATATAATTCTGTAGTGAAGTACTGTTTCTATCCAAAGTGTTGACAGTAGTTTAGTTAACCATCAAATGGTGTTAAAAACAACTGTATCCGTTGTACATAATGTTGCAACAATACATTTATAATAGATTTTACAATTTCAAAATTTAACTTTATTGAAAATTATTTTTATTTGGTTTACCATTAATTTTATGAATTACACTGAGAATGAAGATTTGTGTTCAATAATAAAATCAATTCTAATAAGGGGGAGGAAATATATTTAACACTTAACACATGTCATTTACAAATAAACAAGACTAGTTCTAATTTCCATACAAATATTTAATAAATAATAAAAAAAAAAAAAAAATGATGACAATATTAATACTCATATTACCTTGTCAGAAGAATATAATATAACAATTAATTAATTATACACAATTATCTAAATTATAAATTAAACAATTTATATAATATAAATAAAATACAAAAATATATGTTTTTAGTTTTACGTTGATTACATTATTTCTCATTTAAATTTTACACTCAAAATTTACATTCAAAATATATTAAATCATTAAAGATATAATTTTAAATTTAAATTTGAATGTTAATTTAAATCAACTAAGGCTATTTCACACAAGTTTAAAATATAGTGTATATTGCACAAACAAAATATATCAATAATAATTTGGATTGATAAATCATCAATTTTCAAAATGACAATTTTCACGAATCCATTTTATCAAAAGAACAATTGCTTAATATTTTTATACATATATATATAAATATATACACATATATATATATTTTAAAAAAAGGCAATATAATATCACATATATTTTTATAAAGAAAACCATACTAAACTCAATAATGTAACTACTTTAAAAAATTACTGAAGCAATGAAATCTTAATAATTATTGTATTGGCCAATAGATATATACATAATATATTATATAATTGATTTGATATATATATAAATAAAAAATTGATATTGATGTATTTATTAAATTTGCTTTACAACAAAATAACAATGTAATATGTATTAGAAAATTAAATGTAAAAAAAATTAAAACATAAAACAAGGGATGTTTAATGAAATAATTGTTCATAACATTAGGTAAATATGAACAATATGTATTATACCTTATTTAATTTAAATCAATTGAATAAATAATTTCCTACTCTGCTTACTTAAAGAATACGACTGACAGCCTAACATTATTTACATAAAACATTAATTATTAAGAGTACAAAATATATTTTGAAACTATTGGTATCAAAATCATTGAATTTAAACCATTAAAATACATAAGTATTTATACAATTTTAAAAAAATTTTTAACATCACAATACTAAATTTAGTTAATCATAATTTTAATACATTTATAATATGTAATAATGACGAGTTAAAAATTATAACAATCTAATTTATAGTTTGAGTACACAAAAAAATATGTTATATATATATATATATATACTTATTCACATATAAATTGAAGAAAACAATTATCTTACCTTCGTCTGTTGATACAAATCGCAAACACAAATTTAAAAATGTACACAAATTAAGATTCTAAAAAACAGAACTTGGCAGTGATTTGTTTTTGGTCAGAGTCTTGTTTACATAAATAATGAGCGTCTGTTAATTTAATAAATGATTTTTAAAATATTATATTACATATTTAGGTAAAGCAGTCTTATGAATAATTGAAAAGTCAAATCACCAAATACATAAAGATTCAAACATAATACAAAAAAAAAAAATATAAAAAAAAAATATATGCGGACATATAAAAATTGTGCTAACTATGTAATAAAAAAGAAATATATATATTTAAAAATTAAAATGAAAGCCTATAATTTGAAGTTTCCTGAAATTTGTACACTCAAAAATTACAATGATTGCGGTGCAACAACAGACGTCACATACAAGTAACACTATTACAGTTAAAATTAAACTTTTCTAACTGACATTAATGTAATGAATATAAAGAGATTATTAAGAGAATAAGTTAGCAGCTTAGGCGTCTTATATTTATAAGCGCTCTGTACATCCTTAACTATAACAATTTAATGAAAAATAAAAAAAAATATGATATAAAATATATTTCTCTATTCGTTGGAACCATCATCGAGAAGTGCAGCATATTTATTACTGATCTACATATATATATATATATAAAAAAAAAAATTGAATTAAAAAATATATAATGCATATATTGTATATAAATAATTGGCATAAAAAAAAATCAACAAAGAAATTATTATTACTGTAATGTATCATTGTTTATTATTTATTATTTTTACCTGTTCCCAATTAAAATTTAAAAATATAAAATTAACTTTTCTTTTAATTAAATCATGTATATGTTATTTATGGTTAGAGTTGCACAAGTACTATTGGCATTTACTTATTTATTTGGTAAAATAAATTCTAATGGACAGTTAACAATGAAGCAAGGAATTAATAGATTTAACATTTAAAACAGATGTATGAATACAATAAAAAAATAAAAAAAAAATAAATACAAATCACTCAGAGAGTATAGAGCCTGAGTATGCGTTGAAGGGACAAATACTGGCCTAAGAAGTGGTGCGACTTGGGATAGAGAATATTTCCAGAAAATCATGAGTACCCAAAGATCCATTTAAAAGAGAATCAATAAACCGCTTCATTCGGCTTAAAGTTTGAATTTAAAGGACTCCATGGATAAGAGCAGCTCTATTAAAAACTATGATCTTAAAGATATAAGCATAGGATAAAAATTAAACATGTTCAAGGGTCAAGACAAAGTTGGTTTTTTGCAAGGAAATGGTGCCGTACAAGGTCTTAAGAGTGCAAAACTCTGAAGACATTGGGGACAGATTTAAATTATTTTGTATTGCATTTAATAAAACCTAGGAGTATTAATGCTCTATTTAGGGATATATTTACATGATGTTCAAAGGAAAGAGTAGATAAGTAATATAGAATACCTAATAGTCTAAGGAAAATATTTTGGTACCAAAATAAATCATTCTACATTGATATCTATTTGCATATGATTCAATACCCAATTTTAATTTGATAGACATGCTACTAATATTAATAGCAGGAATTTATCAAAATAATAGTTTTAACGTCCTTGAAACTAATTAGATAGAAATAAAATTTAAATAAATGTGCTCTGAAATAACTATGAAGTATAATATGGATAATACCACTTCACACTGGTTCTGAAACTATACATAAAACATATAATATTAGTCACTGGAAATTAACAAAATAAATATTTTGTAAAAAATAATTATACCTAATTTCAATAGGTATGGGTTGTGGTCACTAGATATATACAATTATAAGCATTAATCTGATTCAATTCAAGTGTTGATTAAAATATAGTAAATATAAATAATATAAGATAATAAAAAATGTATTATTTAAGTTATTATATTTTTTTATTAATAATAAAAATAAAACATCAGGCAATAGTTGTAAATAAAACAAATAACAGAAACTGTATTTTACTTTGCGACCATTTTAGCATTAATTAGCAACAAAATAGTGTCTAAAGAAAAATTATTATAGCACAGTTTCTGCAAAATACTTATTGATAACAATAAGATTATCAACTTTGTGCATTTAAAATATTAATTCCATGATGCATTTGCACAAAGTTTCAAAAGGAAAATGTGATGTCAGAACAATATTTAAGTATTTATAGACGTAATATCAAATAATAATACAATTATATCTAATAGCATAAATATGTTCTACAAACTTAATGTTTAAATTTACAAAGATAAAAATTATTGTTTGTTGCACAAACATAAAATGTTTTAAGTAGACAATTTATAAATTAATCGCTTGTTCAACTTCAGCTTAACTATTTCAGTATTCCTTAAATAGGATATCGACACTTCAAACGAAGCTTCCAGTTTCATTTTTAGTAATATGGATGTTTAATTACCCTTCAAAGAAGAGTTTGTCAGTTTTATAGAATACCTTGGAAATTATGAAGATAATTTAATGTTTTTGAAAATTATAAGCTCTTAATCTCATAATTTATAAAATTAATGTTTGAAGATACCTAAGTATCATTAAAAAAAACACTTTAATTTATTTAAGTTAACTTTAAACGAAGCTTAGATAATTTGAGTTTAAATATTAATGATTACTAATAGCCATTATTCAGTTTAAATCAGAGTTTTAATTAATTAAAATAAATGGTACTTACAGATTTCTTTTGCTCTTTAGTTACAACAGGATCTCTGTAAATAAAAACCCATTAGAAAACCATATTAACTATATTGTACAAGGTCTAAACTTACTTTTTTTTAATTTCGACATCTGATACTTTTTTTGCTAATTTAGGTTTTTTTTTGGATTTATCTAAAATTAAAAATTAACATTATTATCACCATCACTTTCATTTGAATATTACAAATGAATAATCACTTTTTTCTGAACTATTTTTACCACATTCAATAAACCCAGAATCATTCTTATCTTCTCCTTCTGTAGTTTGTTGATCTTTTCCTACTTCGGGTTCACTAGATTGACCATCAGGGTCAGTTCTTACATCATCTAGACCTACGCTCGAAGTTTCAATAAGTTCTGGTTTGTCAAGCACAAAATCATTTGCTTTGGCAGTAACAACTTCTGTTCTGGCAGAAACCTCTTCATCAACTGTATCAGATTCTACTGTTGATTCATTTTCTAGAACTTGTTCTTCTGAAACTTGCTTTTTACGAAGATTCGGTGGAATGTAAACATTAAGTTTAGGTTTATTATCTTCTTCACTAGAAAAAAACAAATTGAAAAGGTATAGAATATTATAAAATTTTAGTTTTCTAATGGTCATATTACATTGAAGGTGCTGATGTTCCATTACATATATTTTCATTAGAAATTTCTGGTTCTTTATTAATAGAATGTTGTTTTGTCCAGGCATTTTCCCGAGGAGGAGGCGCTTCTTCATATTTAGGATTCCTATCAGGAGAAACTCTCCGTCTTGGAAGACGATCATCATCCTCATTCTGACGACGTGGGCTTCTTCGCCTCCAAGTTTCAACAGACTTGGCTTGAGGTACTGGTTTTACTTCTACCTCTTCTTGACTTCTTATACAAAAACACATCTTAGTTAGTATTAAATAAAAAAAACATTACAAACAAATATTTATTCTATTTCTTTTAATAAGTAATCATCAACATTAAACTTATTATACAATTTGAGTACCATAAATTGATTTTGACTGAATGCACATATTAGATAACTATTCTGGTCTATCCAAATTACAAAAAATCAACTTAATGTTTCCTAAAGAATTAAATTTAACCAACTTTTTTTTAAATCATTTTTTACTTTGTCCCAAATGACTTTCTACTGCAATCGTATTAAAATTAAGAAAAAAAAGTTTAAAAATGAAATATGAGATTTATTTAATTAAGTTTTATTTCTAGTTCTGCAAAATTGTTGTTTTAAAATTATGCCATTTTTTTTTTTTTTTTTGGAAAAAATCAAATTCTCAATTACAATAATGTTTATGATAAATGTATTCTTGTTTTAAGCATGATTTTTCAATTCACCCCACTTTAAAGCATGATTTCACTTCGCATAGTGGTATTTAACCTAACTTCTGAACATTATATAACTTAATTGCTGACTCATGAAGTTAAAAAATATTTTGTATCTATTACTCGGACTATGTAGTATGCATGCATATAATCTAGCAACATAGAACAGATAACTGACTTAAAATAAAACAAATATAAGTAATAACACTCCAAATAAATTATAAACGAATACAGCAATTATCAAGCAAAACAACAATTTTATATATTACTTAATGTTTAACTTAAATATAATAGAATACAAATATCATCATACTTGGTATCAGAATTGTCATTTAAACTGGTTAGTGAAGAAGCAGCAGAAAGTAGAGGTTTTGGTTCGTGTTTAGTTAAAAGTTTTTCTTCAATTTCTCTTTCTTTCGCTGCTGTATCAACTGGTTTAGCACCACCAAAAATAGACGACGAAGACGCATAACTCGATGTTTCGGTCTTTGGCGCATCAGGATCAACAGTCTTTGGTTTTAATATGAGCTTTGGACGTTCTTGTGGTGGTAAAGTATTACTGCCAGCTGTTATGAAATTTATTTTATTTGAAATAATTAAAAATATTCATAAAGAAAATAAATTATCAATTACCTATTTCTGGTAAATCATCATCTCGTTTAAAACCAAAACCTCGTCTAGAATCACTAAATGGTTTTCTTCCACCCTCAACATCATCACGGCGTTCTCCAAAAGGTCTTCTACCAGTCTCGAAATCATTATTACGACGATCTCCAAATGGTCTTCTTCCACCAGATTCTGAAGAATCCTCATAATGTCTATCACTAAATGGTTTTCTGACTACATCATCACTAACATTTTGTCTGGCTCCTCTCCACGGACCATTATCTCGTTCACTGTCATGGTCTTTATCAAAGGCATTACCATCTCTTCTCCTAGGGAACCCTCCTACAATAAAAACACATTGTTAATAATATATATACAATAATAAAAATTTGTATTTAATTACCTTCAGTAGTTGAAGTACGGTTAGTTGATCGCCAGTCTCCGGGTTCATCACTTTTAAAATCCATACCCATACGACTACCTCTTTGAAAAGCATTTCTAGAATCTTGCATACCACTGGCCAACTCAACTCGTACACGACGTCCACGAATCTAAACAATGCAAATATCCTTTTATAACTATGTAACATAACACTATATTTTTCATTGACAGCTGGTATAGTTATGAAATACATCTACTTGTACATAATAACTAAGCTTTTTAATATTTTTTTATTAAATGTGTTATTGAAACTCACTAAATTTTCCATTCCAAGTGCAACAATTAGTTCTTTTCGTTCTTCAAATTCCACATATCCAAATCCTTTGTTACGGCCATTATCATTACGAGGTAATTTAATGCTAACAATCTGATATAAAACATAAAATTAACTCAAAAAAGATAGACATAATTTGCATAATGGGTGGGCCACTGTTGTAGGTGAGAATCTTTGGAAATAGAAGGGTAATTTGATGCAGGTATACCTGTACACGATTAACCATTGCTAACGAAAACGATTCTAAGTTTAGTTAATAATATTACTTTGTTAACAATATATGTATCATATATTATAGTAAAATAATAACATATTTTCTTTAATATTGAAACTATTTTCCTTTGTTTTTTCTCATTTATTATTGGGAAAACTCCTGGGACCTCCCTAAAATAACACCCCAGTCAGATTTCCTTTTAAAAAATATGCTATAATTTAAAAGTATTAATATATAAGTATACAAGTGAAATTGAATAATTTTATATCTGAGCAAAATTATTAGTAAAAAAATATAAATATTGTAAAACCAATATATCCCTCACTCCGCTCAAAATCTAAAATCAAATATTCAGAGATATTGAAACATTATAACTACAAGCCAAATTATCAGAAAATCAAATTTGTGTACATATAAACATTGGTTCAACTCACATACTAAAGTATGAAAGGAACTCCACATGTTAACATTCGCCTTTAAATCATCATGGTAGTTATAATGTTGTACTTATTGTAAGAATTAGCGTTCATGAAATTCTTATTATACAGCTAATAAAAATTTAAAAATGTTTAATTTCCTAAGTAAAAAAATACAACAAAATATTGTTCATTATCTTCGACTCTGTGCATATTTTAATACATTAATAAAACAAGAATGTAAATCTACACAAATTAAATTGTATACTACAGGTAATGAAAAATAATTGTACTTACAAATAAAATATATGTTTATCAGAATTAGATATTGTATTTTATTTAGAAACCATTTAAGTACAAATGAATTCAAAAATAGTGTCTACAAAAAATTGATATAGCATAGTTTCTGCAAAATACTTATTGACAGCAATAAGATTATCAACTCTATGCATTTTAGGTTAAGTGTATTTAAACAAAATATTTATAATAGACAAAGTAAACTATTTTAGTAACATTAATCTCACACTGATGTACTAAAACTTTTTAACTTAGATTATTCCCTTAATTTAAAACTATAATTTTATGGCGATGGAATTGTATTTCTTAATCTTTTTATTATTTGTGAGATATCAGATGGAAACTCTATAAATGACACTTGTAACAGGCCAATACTAACTAATTTTGATATAACCAGCAGCAAGTATACTATTAATTTATATTAAATATTTAAAACTGCATTATTTATTAATATTAAATAAGTAAGTGAATATAATTTATAATTAAACAATATTATACTATGCGACACCCTATCCACATAAAAAACAAATGGTCTACTATGTATATTTTGTTTTAATATATTTGAATTACCTTTAGTCCTTTAAAATAATTTGTGAGATCATCTTCTTCAATTTCAAATTGTAAATTAGACATATGAACCAAAAATGGCCCTTCTTGAGGTACTGAAGCTTCATCAATTATAGTATCACAAGCAGCTCTTGGTGCTTTAGGAAGATTTAATGGCTTAGCTTCAAATCCATAACCACCAAATCCTATTTTTTTTATTTTATTAAACAATTTAAAAATAAAGTTATTTTAATTAAATTTTTATAGTATCAAATTATCAAAACTTGATACAAAAAAAGCCCTCAGATTTATAGATTAACAGTCAACAAGAGATTAGTCTGAATTGAGTTATTCTAACATAAAGCTAGAACCTTGCAAATTGAACTAAAAATGCGAATCACAGGAGATTCCAACAGTTTCTAAAATTATTGTCTCAGCCAATGGCGTCTCAGACCCAAAAATTTTAGAACTGGACCAATTTCTGGTTCTCCTGCCCAACTTTGTCAAGAAGGCCTTCGGCTGGAAGGTTAGTGAATTTATCTCAGACCTTCCCGAGGTTATTTAAGTAACTAAGTACTCCGTGTGTAAACCCCTGAAGCAAGATTCTTGTTGACTGATGTAACTCTATTTTAGAAGCTTTAACAGTAAAATAACAGTAAGCTCCAATATGTTCATCATAAGGCACATATCAAATTAATCATTGTATATGAATGAAATATTATATATTATTAATATGCATTACCATTTTGTTCTTTTTCTACTTCATCCGCCCAACATGTTCCACTGGCTATAGAAATTACCTCAGTTTCTAATGGCGTCCATTTTTGCTTTTTAGTCTTTTTACCTAGAAAAAAAAAAAACAAAAAAATCTGTTAAATGAATCAGAAAAAAAAAAATCGCTATTTACGGATAAACAATTCTTCCATAAAAGGACTTACAACAACTATTCAAAGGCAAAATAACATTACAGATTAATGGATTAATCAGCTCTTGGACTTATCACTCACTAAACAAAGTTATTTTTTAATTTGGCGGCCAAAATAATAATAAAGGTAAAATTTAGTGCTTTAAGGGAAAAAAATATTATATATTTTGTAGGAAAGTAGAAGAATTCTATGAGTATTATTTATTAAATTAAGAATAAAAATTAAATTTTGTTTCTATTTTTTCTAAATTCTTTTAGGAAAAAAAAAATTAACTTTGTATTCGAAAACAAAAATTTATAAAGTAAATTGGAGGTCAACCAATTAATATTAAATTGATTAGTACTATAATTACAATTTTAATTTTGGTTGAATGATCATTCCAAAAAATAAAAATTTATTACTGGTCTATCAAAAATCAGCCAATAGTTTAGATATTTTGTTTTTATCAAATTAATTTTGATTAAATGTATTAAATTGTATTAAATGTAACATTCCGGATTGATGGATTAATCATAAAGAATTAAACCCTCACTAAAGAAAGTCATATTTCATTTACTTCCATTTGACGGCCAAAATGATAATAAAATAGCAATTTGGTGCTTTTAGGAAGAAAAACATAATAATAATAAACTTTGTATTATAAGTTAACAATTTATAGAGCAAATTGGAGGTCATCCAATTAATATTAAATTGATTAGTACTATGATTACACTTTTAATTTTGGTTGAATACTCATTCCAAAAAAAATTCATGACTGGTCTATCAAAAATCAACCAAAAGTTTAGATATTTTGTTTTTATCAAATTAATTTTGATTAAATGTAACATTCCGGATTGATGGATTAATCATAAAGAATTAAACCCTCACTAAAGAAGGTCATATTTCATTTACTTCCATTTGACGGCCAAAATGATAATATAAAGGCAATTTGGTGCTTTTAGGAAGAAAAAAATAACTAACTTTGTCTTCAAAATAACAATTTATAGAGCAAATTGGAGGTCAAAAAATTAAAATTAAATTGATTGGTACTATGATTGCACTTTTAATTTTGGCTGAATGCACATTCCAGATAATAAATAACTATTACTGGTCTATCAAAAAACAGCCTAAATTAAAACCCACTTTTTATTTTCAGTTAAATGTAATAATTAATACATTTAAACCATTCTTTTTTAACTTTTGTGTGTTACTTGTTTTTATTTTTTTTTTCTCACTATACTTTCAAAAAATTGTGCTATGAATAATACTGCTAATAATAAATTAAATAAAAATAATAAATTCAATCAAAATACAATTGAAAAACTATTCTAGAGAACTTATAATACGTATAACTAATGTGACATTCTGGATTGATGGATAATCAAATTGAATTAAATCCCTCAATAAAGATTGTTTTATTTTAATTTACTTCCATTTAACGGCCGAAATTATAAAATAAATATATTTTGGTGTTTGTAGGAAGATGGTTAATGATTTCTAAAATTTTATAGGTAATTTATAATTTAGATAGTTATAGTTCTGAATGTAAATGATGACAGGTGTAAACAAAAATAAAATATGTTAATCAATAAATTAGGTATTTTATATCCAATCACATAAGGCTGTATTGCCAAGCAAAATAAAATAGAAAATTACATTAATAGATGGAAGTCAGCATATTATATATTATATGAATTAAATTAATTAATTCAATTAATTTAATTAAATGAATTGAATAACATTTACTATATTAGATAAAATTTAAAAAAGGCAAAGGAGTTGAAAATTATACTAGGTATGTATTTAGTATTTTTACAAAAAAAATTAATATGTATCTATATTGATATTCACAGCCCGAGATATAGACACACAGATCTATATTGCAAACAAATCTAATGTTTTAAATATTTTCATTTGGTACATTGTGTAGTGTTTTTTAAACAGTTACCTAGACTTGTTACATGGTAGTTACTTGTAAGGTCAAGAATGAATTTTTTTAATTACTTGTATTCGTTTAAAATCAGTCTTAAAATATTTAATAGGAAAAAATTATAAAAATAAATTACTACTAATTTAAAGAAATGTTTATTAATTTGGAAGGTAATAAGGTACGAGAATTTTTTTTTTATGTAGGTACACAAGTGCGATTATAATATACAGAAAATATGATCAAACATAAATTTTAAGAGTAGATTACTTCGATATAAACAAAATATTGAAATTGTTATATTTTGTGCACATTACATACAACTGCAATAGGTTATCTATCTATACACAAATATTGTAAATTTGAAAAAATATTGGACATTCATCAAATTTAAAATATATCAATTATAAAATTTGAGCGTATCATACAAAGGAAAAAAAAAAATTAAACAGGTACCTATACAAAGTAATCAGGTATATTAATGTACTTTTAAGTATACGGTCACGTAGCCTATTGTCCCGAGCTATTTGAAGACGTAACTGACAACCATTTTAATATTTGGGCATCGTAAGAACGGAGGTGTACTCCCAATAGAAAAGAGGCAAGTACTACCTACAGACGTGTGGAAATGTGAGCCCGACGTGAAAAAACACGAGGGATAGACCCGCGGCCGTAAAAGCCATTGACCCGTTATCATTAAATGAGTGGAGTGATAAAAAAAATATCGGACGATGCATGTAAAACACGTGAACGGTGCCAAAGATCGCAGAGCTTCAGATTCAAACACAAGGACTACACTAATATGGTTCAAGAACGATCACAAGGCCGCACAGAAAAACGTTTGATCACGGACGTCAGGGTTAATGAAATGCTTATCGACACCACAGCCCTTAGAACGAGTGGCCCCCGGGGCAACGACACAATCGAGTTTGCGCCGCGTACGAATATACGAGTAATACAATAAAAAAAAAAAAAAAAAACTGACAATATTTGTCGCCCTCGAAAAAATACGCGAAACGAAAGGAAAATCCAACTGAGGTTTACTTACTCGACATCTTGGCGTTACGTGTGGAACACGTGTATTAGAGACGTCCGTAGAACTGACAGAACACGACGGATAAATTACGAGAACGTGGCGGTGGTTTTGAATGGGAAAAAAAAATTTGTCAACTCTACAAAATTTTGCTTCAACGGCTACGCAGCAATAGCGCTGGGTGCCGTGCAAGATGAAAATGAACCACAAACGGTGGCGATGTACGAGACACGGCGGCCAGAAGTGGTGTTAACGCGGTGGAACAAACGGTACGGTTGGAACGGAGTTGGTGGGGAGGTACCCGCCTCCCAGCAATGGGAACACACGACGACGCTGCAAGCTGAATCATCGTTTGTTATATTATACAACGTGTTTGTAACGGCCAAAGAGATTCGACAAATCGATTTCGATTACCTTTGACACGTAAAACCGTTTTAAAAACTAATTTTAAATGTGTGTTTTATTTTAATGTAATAACCGTACAGCACGGATAATCGGCGTTCAGTATAATGTTATTGTTAATTCCGCGGTTTTTGAGTCATCCGGTGTATTATAGTTAAATAAAATAAATTAACAATTACATTTTTATCTCATCATTTAATATGATTACCGCCTTAATTCAAATTTAAATTGTAATATACTCGTAGTTCACTAATTATTATAATCTGAAATAAATAATAATAGTAACAGTTGAAATAGTTTTACCACTATTTCAGATAAATTATTATGCACACAAATGCATGATTGATAAGAGTATTAAGTACTATAGAATGAAAACTACATATCCCACAGATTAGAAATTTTAATTTTCTTCTTTTTATTGTCATTATACTTGTGTTTTTCCAGTTCGGTCAAATTATTTGATAGGAGTATAGAAGTTATTTTCTTAACAATATTATTATTATAATTTACTTAGGTGCTGTGTTTTTATAATATATTATTAATATATAATATATTTTAATGAATTATTTTAATATTTTGTAATAGCAGAAACTATTCAACCAGGTGTTGAAAAAAAAAGGAGACGAATTTTGTACATAGGAAGATTTAGAGAAGGCGTTAAAAAGATCTGTAAGTATTTGTGAATAGTTTAAAAAATGAAACATAAAAACAATCCTAATAAAATACATTTTGCTGCTTTAGACAATTGTCTTACAATTGATGCCATACAAATTTATTTTGACAATGATGGCTGGGCTACTCTTCAATAAGTTGTAAAATAGAAAATTTTAAATCCAAAATGGATTTGTAGTTCATGTACAAAAGAATCATAAAAAACGACTCTATAACATGTTGTAATCGGTATCTGGAGTGATTTCACTTCAAATATTCTAATTTTAAACCAACATGAAAAAAAAACCTATGGTTTTGCTATAACTTTAAATCTTCATATGACAATTAATCAACAATTAATGAATAATTTATATTTTTATTTTAAATTTTAAATTAGCAATAATATATTAATAATGGGATAAAGATTAATGATTTTGTTATTATTACCAAAACATTGTAATCAAATCGGTGATAAGATAAAAATTGTTTATCAATATTTGAACCAATTACAGCATAGGACACGGAAATAGGTAAATACGCGTTGGACACTGAAATAGCCACTTCCAGAATAAAAAGGTATGTCAGCACTTTAGTTCTGCGCTGTCTGCCATATTGCTTTGTTCCAAAATCTTATCAACACATTTTTTCACACCGATCATACCGTATTATTCATATCAAGTGTACTGTATACAGTAACCACAAACAGTGTCTCTGGGTATATGGTAATTCTCATATTTGTGTTTAAATTATGACAAAATACGGAATACGCGACTCGTAATCGTTTCGTGTTGGAGTACGGTACGGATATATTTAAAACCGAGAGAACTATTATTATTTGTAAGTTATGTGTCGATGGTCGATACTTAAAAATATTGTAAATTTTTTATCAGTTATATCGAATTATTTAAGCGTTTAAAAATTAAATCCGTAATAATCATAGTTACCTAATTTATATTACAACAACTGAACCGCATTCTAAATCATCTGGTCTCATATCTTACGGGAGATTTCCCCTCCAAAAATATTTTGACAAATATTAGGCACCCGTGGCCCCTATGATATTATATAATAATAATAATAAAAAAAAAATAGAATACTTATATTTTAATAACAACATACTGGATGGCCTTTGAATAATAATCTAAAAAAAAGCTGATGTCTGAAGTAGATGAGAAGTTGAGAAGGTAGAACACATGGTTATATAATTTATATCTATAAGCAACAATAACCCTTGCTAATAAAAAACGATATTGAGCAAAGTTCTTGTATACATGATTTGATAGGCCGTTTTCGATTTTCATTCAAATTTGGTACTAAAATTATTATAAAAAAAAAATTCTACATTACAATAATTGTTTTTTTTTTACCACAAAGTACGACTTGTAATGTAACTAAGTAATGAACCTCTTGTTAAATTTTCAAGTATTTCTGTTTGGTCTAACAATTTTATCCACAGAGATTCACCTACCAACTGAAAATTACATATTAAACTCGTAACATTAAAATGTCTATAAACAGCTCAAAAATGGCACAAACGTTTTGACAATTTTACCATGTGTAGAAAATGAAAAAATAAGTTTTCTGTCGATATGTCAAGTTTTTATGAACATATTTTTAACTTTACAAAATTACAATACAAAAATAAATTTTAGAATAATGAAAACATTATTTTTGTAAATTTTCCTGTTCTTTCTACTATTTTTTTCGATATTTCCCAATTATTATGAAAACTGCTTGAAAAATAAGTAAACGACATTTCTAATGCACTAAACTAGATCCAAAGTGCAACAAAAAAGTTTTCTCTTTATTTTTCAATTGGAGCAAATTTTTTTGTCGTATGTTTTCAGGAGCATGTTGATTATAGACAGAAAAAAAAACTCGTCACAGTAAAACCAATAGATCCCTCTCTTCGCTCCGAATCTAAAATACATTTTATAACAAAATACCTATAGGATCGTACATCAAATTTTCTTTTACGTTATGATGTAGAGCTACATTACGTATGGGCATTATCTTTACACCTAGGTACGTTACATAGTCACAGAATAATAACTATACAAAATTATATAATATAGGTAGATACTAGGTCTGTGATCTACACCGTAAATTATACAGCGTATACCATTGGATATAATATATTATGTATTTATGTATATAGGTAAGTATATTTTATTTATTTGTTTATACAATCCATAAATTATTGCAATAATTTAGTATAATAAACATAAGTGAATAAGTGATACCTAGCTTAAAAGTCCGCTCTCCGGTGACACTTCGAAAAACTATGGAATATTATAGATAAAATTTAAATCACGGTAATAATATAATACGGAAACGTAATGATTATTGTTTGTTTACTTTTTGCTAACCTTTTTAGGTCGTTAGGCGTATTTCTGTACTTTTTTTACTCGACTCGATTTATAGTGACCAAATATGAAACCATTTGGAAAACACCTAGATACCTAACTACCTATACAAAATATGCAGAACATACATTAACGTGCAATCATTATAAATTGTAGTATTTAATAAATTAGGTAATGATATATGGACATTGAATGGCTGCATGTACCTCTATGATGTAGAAAATAGTAACATGTATTTCATTTAAAATCCTACTTTAACTTATTAGTTAATTTACTTAAAGTTATTTATCTAACTAATTATGATTTGTTATTATTGTTAGTCCAAAGCTTAAAGTGGCATAAAATGATAAAGGGTACTATGATCCCTATTTTATTTTGAGTATTCCATTCATCATTGTCCCGAACAACAAATAATTTTAAAGAATAGGTTATTCATTAATTTGTTTAAAAAAAGTAACATATATTTTTATGTTAAGCTATTTTCTAGCGATCTATTTTAAAAAGATAGGGAAAAAACCTGTGCAATTTATGGTAGGTATACTAGGTTGTAGATACATAACTATAGTTATCAACCATATTTATTTTGGATAGGTTCCTACATATTTGGTTGTAATTCCAAAACTATAGTGAAACTTGTATTTTTTTAAGTATTGTAAAAGTTTAAGTTTCTTTGTACATGGCGCAAATAGGGGGGTTGGGGGTAGTGACCCCCCCAAATATGTTTGTGAGTTTTTTTTACAAATTCTATGTAGTGTGTAGATGTATAATTTATACACCAATATGAAACATAATGTTGTAATAACATGAATAAATAAGTGACGAGGTGGTTTTGTTGAATGATACAACCTTGGTTTATATAAAATATGATAGTAGGTATTTGAGAAATAGGTACTTTGTCCTGCTTATTTTTAACATTTCTCCTCAATAGGCATGCCTTTGTCACACACTACACAGTATCACTTATAGATAATATTTATAATTCAAACGTTTTGTGTTTATCGTTAGGTACGTCGCGTTAACTAGAAACCATTTATATTTTGGAGTAAGCAAGTATTAAATGTTAATTAATTTAATAGTCTAATAAGTCTCTAGGTTTTGTACATAAAAGTCAATGCTATAATAGATTTTGACATTTTTGTTATATTTAAAAGCTTTTTCTGCTTTTATTTGTTGTTGCAGTTTGTTAAAAGGCTCTTTAAAGTCGGGCCGACTGATTGTAAATTTTATTTTAACAGTTAACACAATTACCCTGTTAGTTAGGGCATCATTTCACATTTTTTTCATGGGATTGCGGATGCAAAACTAATACTGAAAATCTAAATCAATACAAAAGTCGATCGCTTCGTTCACATACCATTTTATTATTTATAATATAGTAATTCATTTAAAACCATACAATATAAAATACTTATTTTCCAAAAAAAAAATCCAAATTAATAGATTTTAAGTAGAATTTATTATAAGTAGAACGGAACTGTTTACCAGTTTTTTGTTTAAATGAATATGATTTTGTCTTGATTTTGACAAGATTTTGTTAGTATGGAGCTAACAATTGAAAATTGTTCGCTTTGAATATAACTTCAAGATATGATACTAAGATAAGATACTAAAAATGTTAATAATTATGAATTATAGTTATTTTAATTATTTAAAAAACATTAAAAATAAAAAAAATGCTTAAGATTAAAAAGTAAGTCAATGTAATGATGTAATGGTTCAAAGCAAAGTTCGGTTAAATATGATTTTATTTTTAAAATTCATAAAACCCCCTTTGAAAATAAATCCTGGTTACGTCACTGTCTTTGTATGTAGGTATTCAGCACAGGATTTAGGGAATGGGTACTATAATCATAGAGTAGCGCCAATTCTTAAGAAAGGCTCAAGAAAAAAAAAAGGTACAATTATGTAGGTACCTGATTTAAGAGTTAATTTTATGATTCGCCGTAAGTGCTACACATTTTACTGTAATTAACACTGTAGACACCTGTATGTACCTAAAAATACTCAAAGTAGTATAAGTTATTTGAGAAAAATAAGTACAATATAGTTAATATTTTTAAACATTACAAATATTATCAACATGTCTAAATAAATTTAAATTTTTTTGATTTACATTTGTATCAATATTTTAAATTTAGTTTTATAAGTTTATTTGGTAAAAAAAAATGCTTCAATATTATCTAATATTTTTTTATTCAAATTAATATAACGTACATTTTTGTGATATAATAATAATAATAATAACCATAATAATATCTTTTTAATTTCACAAAACGTTCTCAATGACATGGATTGGATCTACACTTATGTATAACAATTTAAAATAAAATCAATATGCATTAGATTTCTAAATTAAACACAAACTGTAGTATATTTTAATTTTGTTTTTGAATAGATAGTTACATAAGCAATATATAAGCTCTATATTAAATATGCAAATAAAAAAATGTAAGTAGGTATATATTTTCTACTTACATTTGTTCTCTTGTTTATGGCAATATTTTATTACATTCAAATAAATAATTATTAATTAATAATTTTTAAATTTAACTAAAATTAGGGTATTATCAAAATTAATTGTCAATTTTCATAATAGTAGGTACCTATTCAAAAAATTTGTAAGAACCAAGAGGGTATTTATTATCAATGTTTATGTATTTTAAGATGTTTTATTATAAAGCAATGGAGTGCGGTGGTGTTTTATGATGAGTATGATGGAAGAAATGTTTACAAAGATACCTTCCTATATAATTTAATAAGGAAAGTTTTACTATAATATCACAATTCACAATAATAATTTTACAAATACTTGATAGATAAAATAATACAAATAATGGGTTGTGGTGAGGTTCAACATTAAGAAGAAATTTTAAAAAATATTTGTATGAAGCCTTATTTTAATAAAAGGACTTGGGTTGTGAATGAAGCTGAAAGAAAAACAAAAAAGGAAATGAGGAACATGCAAAATATAAGTTAGATAGAGCGAAACTTGGAAAAAAGTATATAACTACTGTAGTGGTGAGACATACACTTGGGTTATACAATAAAATAATAGACGGGAAAAAACCACCAGGACGACCTCATAATTTGATAAATCAAAAAAGATGCAGGCGCCTGAAGCTATATAACAAATTGTGAATAACTGTTTAAAATGGAGAAATGAAGCTGTAAACCAACCTATAAGTTTATTAAAAGTTAATTAAGTAATACCTCTTTTATTATCTAATAATATTTCTAATTATAATAATTATATTTACAACTACAATTACAATTACATGTCATATTATTACGAATAAAATAAGCTTCTTCTCCTTGAATTATATGCGGACAATGGCGCACTGGTCCTATAAAGTAAATTATTAAAAGACATACTGATTTATTTTTAAAGAAATGTTCTGGTAATCTTATGTCAGTTTATTTTATTTATTTATTAATTATAATAATTTAAAAATTTGTTCAACAAAATATGTATTCTAGGAGTTCCAATACAATTTAAATAGTGATTGATACAACAAAAACAATTAGGTACACTACCAAACTGAATATTTAATGTTTGAATATAAATATATTATTCTAAAAATAATTCTCAAAAATGAATTTACATTCCAGGTCTATTAAATTTATACAATTATACAACTACAATGTCCATTAAATTTGAAGTTCAAGAATAACTAACTGTAATAGCTAGTGGATTACTCCTCCCTCTTAAATTCACAAAAATAAAATTAAGTAGGTATGTAGGTATTGAATTTCATATAGAAAACCCTAATGAAGAACTCAGTTTACTTTATATATTACTGTTTCACTATAAACTGGTAGATATATTAAACATAACTTGCTATGCGTGCTTATAAAAAAGAAAGCTCCACTAAAGATTATACATATCTATAGTTTTGTAATATCCCTTCTATAGGCAATTAATACTCTCTCTGTGGGATTTCTCAATTACACAGAGATAAATAATCCTATATATTTTTATTTATTGGAACATAAGATAATTGTTATGTCATATTAATTAATTAATTAAAACATAAAAAAAAAAAAAAAAATTATAGTAAAAATTTGTTATTTATAAAATAACATATTTAGGTATAAAGTAAATAATAATAGATTAACAATATATTATTTTTATTTTTGTTGAAGAAAAATTATAGGTAATGCAATAAATTCAAAAGATTTTGTTCAACAATAATACAAACTGCATTAGTACCTTTAGTAATGTGCAGTTTTACATGAAATGTGCTGTTCTAAATGAAATATTGTGCAGTTTTTAAAAAATATTATGAACTTTAATTATGAGAAAAAAGGCTGAAGAGTATTTTAATGGTGCGTATTTTCTGAAGCTCCAAATAAAAATAACCAATTTTTAAAGAGTGATGAAGAAGTTGTCATATAAAAAAATAAAAATAATAAACAAATATTTCATCCTTATTTTGAAGTTAAATATTATAGAATTTTAATCGATAAGATATATAAATAAATACATATATGAATTTATCAATAATTTGTTTGAAGAAAAATATAAAGGAAATATTGTTTAGAAAAATATATTAAGTAAAGGTAGTTGTTGTAAAATAAAGACATTTGAAGTATTAAGCGTAATGAGGATATTAGTAAGCAAATTGATTGGAAAATGTTGTTCATTATGTAGGGGGAAATAAACTAGACAAGGCTATAGCGGGGGGGAGGAAGATTCAGGGTCTGCCCTTCAATATTTTTTCAAAATAAAACATTTGTTAGTACCTATATAAAAAAATGTATTATTTAATTGATTAAAAGAAAATGTTGGACCCCTTTGAATTTTTCAACTATTGCTTTGAAACAAGATGTGCAGTTTTAAAATTGTCTTAGTGCATGCTCTCTACCTATTTGTGAAAATAATAACAACTGTAAATAGCCAAATAAATCTTAAAAAATCTAAAATAGTATGTATGAAAATTATCGTTAGAAAGAAATCTTAATATATAATTTTTATGAAAAATAATATTAAAATTAAAAAATTGCTTTGTTAAAATAGAATTAAAACACACAAATTGTTTAAAACTTATAAATTGTTGAGATCTATTACATATATAGTTATTACAATGCTGCAATTATCGTAGATGTGTGTGGAGGGAGTGGGTGGTACATCAAACCTTTGGTTAGAGCCTAATGTTAGGCTAGATTGTTTTACCTATAAGTTTTAATTAGATATTATGAATTTTTGATTTCATAATAACTAATATCCCTATATCTAATTGCAGCATTGTACAATTATACTTATACCATGGTTTAAAATGCCTTAAACCGTGACTTATACACAAAATTGTTTACATAAAAATATATATAATGCATATAGAACTATACCATTGTTATTTATAGTATAGTCAGTATAGTATTATTAATATCATTTTCATGGTTCACGATTTTACAAAGCACTACCGACAATTGCAATTTTTTAAAACAGAAGAATCAGAGCACCGTGCTTAGAGTAGCAAATATGCAACACAATAACACTACAATGTTGGATATGGCAAAACCGAATGTGACACCGTTGTTTGATTCATCAATTGGCGTGTTCAATGTCGCATACCCACCTACATTATACCACACAGGTCGTCCGGATAACTCTTGTACGGGCCGAGCATTATGCGTTAATGGTCCATGTTTCGAACGCAATGTACGGAAAGCTTGGATCTGTAAAAAATCAAGAATATTAGAATCATTAGGTATCACTAAACAAATCGATGTAATACAAAAATAGTAGTTATACATAATAATATCAAGTAAGTATTAATAGGTATGTACCTAGAAAATATTTTAGTTCAGTATAAAGCAGTTAGGTAGACACTGCATAGTGCATAATATATACAGAACTGCATACCAATTATAAAAATTTCAAAATAATATGTAAAATTTGAATAATTTAACTTGTATAAAATATAGGTCTGTAGTGATTCGTTTTACACTAATTAATTAGATACCTGTTTGTGGGATAGTCTAATTGGATGTTTAAAATCTATCCATGTGACAACTTCTAAGCATGGTGGTGTAGTTAAAGAACCTTTGTATGTGAAATAGTGTTCAGTTGATTCTGGTAATATAGATCTAATAGTTAATCCGACCGGTAATATTGCTGTATTATCAGGCAAATTAATTTTATTCAATGTGTCAACAATTTCTTCATATATTGGATTGTCTTCTTCAGTTACTTCAAAGAACGAAGCCAAAACTACCAATCCATCATTTTTTGTTAAGGCTATAGTGTCGTTGTCATAGTCTGTATTTGTAAACACCATATGTAACTCCATTGGAAAACTATAAAAATAAAATAATACCAACAATTAAACAATTAAATACAAATTAATTGAACATAATTTATAATTGTGTTATAGATATGCAATATGCACATTGTTTACTGTTTGTGGAAATACATTTCTCTTAAAGTCTATTATTTGTTTTGTCATACCTATATACCTAATTATATTTATTTTATATTCTGAGTATGGTGAGGGATCTAATGGTTTTACTACAATGTGTGTTAGAAAAAAAAAAAACATTTTTTTTTTTTCTGTAAACAACTCGTCTATTAAAAATCGTGCTCAAATCAAAAAAATAACAAAGAGACCTTTTTGTTGCATTTGAATCTTGTTGGCGAGTAATAAAATTATGTTTTGATTTACCAACCAGTTTTCATAATAATTGGGAATAACCTTGAAAAACCGTAGAAAATACGGGGAAGATCACAGCATTAATATTATTGTTATTTTTGATTTTGGTTTTTTATCGTGGACCAGTTAAAAATTATCGTAGAGAGTTAACATTTTCAACGAATATTCATATTTGTTTTTTATAGATGTGGTAAAATTTAAAAACATTTTTTATTTGAAAGCTATTTATTAGCATTTTATGTTGGCGAATTTGATTAAGTAGTTTTTATTTGGTAAGTATTCTGTGAATAAAATTGTTTGAACAAACGGAAATATTTGAAAATTTAACATGAGGTTCATTATAAGTTGCACTTAATGGTAAAGAATTAATTTGAGCGTAATCTAGTATTTTTTTTTTTTTTATATATATATAATAGTTTTATGATCAAATTTTGACGAAAATCGTAAATATTAAGGCATTTCTAAACATATATGATAACTTCATTCGTAAAGAATCATATTTTGTTAGCAATGGTATATCGTTGCTTGCAGATATAAATTAAATACTTAATGTATCTTACCTTCTCAACTTTCTCCTTACAACAGTGGCACATCCATTAGCAGTATCAGATTTTTTATTTATGAATTTAATTTAATTTATTTAACACACAATTTTAATTTATAACTTAACTTAATTATTAGTACCATGTTAATTTATTCAAATTTTTAATTTTACCTGTGGTTGTTGATGAGATCTTCACTACCTGTTGAGTCATTGACGCCCCAATGAAAATGGAACTGCGTGAATCTATAGAATGGAGTTAGAGGACCTCCACTAATCATTACTGGAGTTGTGTAATTTGATAATACTACCACTGTAAACATAATTATATATCATATATTATATATCTATGAAAAATACATGATTCAACAAATAAGATACATAGGTATATAATTGTTACAGAGATAATATACAGAGTGTTCTACGCAATGTTACCGGATACTAATAACTTAATCAATATTTATTTTTATTTTCAATCGGGTTTTGTGTCAGGGGGACACGAATGTAAATAAAATTAAATTTGTATTTTCATTCCTTAATCGCTAAAAAAAAATTGTATTTGTTCACTTTATACATTTTTAAAAAGTTTTAATGTATCATATATTCATATCCGATTGTTTCTTAGTTATAGCGGCTTTAATGTATTCACAAAACTCGACTAAAAAAAAAAAATGAATATTTACAGTTATTATCATTTGGATAACATTGTAAGACACCCCATATACCTAATATACCTATAGGCTATAGGCATATATTAAATTTAGGTCACACGTAAGACCATAAACCTGTTAATATTATTAAACAGTAATAACTGGCATAACCTCTTCCCCCCATAATTTCAGAAAAAGTGCCCCCTTGGTAGAATAATTACATTATTGGCTTTGTTATAACATACCTATTTGTTCAGTTAATTTAAATTTTTATTTTATGTGTTATGAATTAAACCTAATAAACTATAGGTAAATTATTTATATTTTCAAAAAAAAATAGGCTAAGAAGAATAATATAGTGTCGTAGCAAGGATATTTCATCGAAGAGAGACTTCAATTTTGATTGTCAAACAATATGGTTAAAAAAATAAGTTCGTTTTGTACTATTGACAACGTTATATAATAATAGATTAGGTCAGTGGTGGATTTCCGGGAGGGGACAGTCCAGAAAGCCCCCAGACAATGATATAATTTTAATAAAATGTCGTTTAAAAAAGAGGCATCTATAAATTGACACTTTTGAAAATTATATAAATAGAAAAATAAATAATATTAGGTATTGCTAAACATCGAAATATTCACTTTGGTAGTTCCTTTTGCCAGAACAAATCCATCTTTTATTCAATATTCATCTTAGGCACCACAATGAATTCAATAATATGTAAGTAATTTTGATGAGTTACCTACCAGACATCATAAGGAATGTGTGGTACGCCAGATGATGCTATATAAGTTATAACCAAGGTCAATCTGGCAATCATGAAGGGGGGAAAGATGTACAGTCTACTACAGGTACGTATTAAATATAGGTACCTACCTACTTCATTTTTTAAATCTTAAATAAAAATCTAAAAATACGCCTTTAACCTGACATATATCATGTTGGATAGTTTAATAAAATCTTCAGTAGAATAACTAAATGTATATAGTTATAATAATACCTATAGGTATGTTGGTTTAATGTTTATCTAGAGTTTAATTCTTCATACCTACCGTGAACACTGTTTTAAACATTATTTTTTCACATAAATTAAATTTAGCGAATGATTATGGATTTTTTTTTCAAATTATTGTAGTATATACTACGGATAAAAAAATTAGAACAATATTGTTTTTTCCATTAATCGTATATAGTACTTAGCGGTCATACTTTAGTGAATATTTTAAATAATTGGATATACTAACATTAGTTTGATATAAATAAATATATTACCTGTGTGTCCGTTGTTCGTTATGTTTGTTGATGTTGGAAATATGTCGATATTGTGAAAACGCAAAAGTGGTAAATTAACTTTTGTTACAAGCTTTTCTTCGATGTCAATCGGCGATTGATATTTTCCTGAGCATGTTTTGTATTCAGTAGCCCAATGCAGTGGATCTTAAACAAAAATAATTGTTATTATAAATTAAATAATTATAATATATTATAAAACATAATTATTATTAAGTATTATGGTAAAATTAACAATTCACAAATTCAATATTTCACATTTTTGTGAAATGTTTTATTTAAAATAATATTTTACATGCTTGTATACATTTTTGAATATTATTGAATAATTAAAAATTCTATAAACACAGAGATGAAGTTTTAGTTGAACTAAACTTGGTGTTGAAATTTCTAATTACAACCAACTCGTTGGCGAACTATTTAAAGTAAAAATTCATATTATTTTCTTGGAACGTTTATTATAGGTTGCCATTTGATAATCAAAAGTACCTACACATATTTTTCAATATTTTCCGAAATAATTAATGTCTTACGAAATACTGATCACGACTAACAGTTGCGAACTATAAGGTATTGATATAATTTTGTAATAATAAGATATTTGCCGTTTTATCAGATTGCCCATTATGAAGAAATTGTCGATTATTTATACAAATTGTCGATGTACGAACGCTATAAAAAAAATAATTTTAAGAAATCTAAGTTGAGACTAAAAGGAACTGCCAGCATTAGTTCATATTATAGATAAATTGTTATAATAAATATTTGAAATACGACTCGAGTTATAATATTAAACACTTAGTGTTCTAATAATACTGCGTAGAATAGCTATTAAAATGTCGTAATTTACATTACAAATTTCAAATATTTTTATAAGTAGGATAATAAATAAAATGATTTTATAGGTATAATTAACAATAATACATAGAACATCCAATAAAAAAAATTCAGTTTTATCTTTATCCCTCAAAAAATCCTGTTTTACCCCTAGGGGGTATTTATTCCCAGATTGGGAACCACTGGTTTCAGAGGTATCTATGCAATTTATTAAAAATTAAATGAATTTTGAAAAGGATTTCTACTACTTTCACTTGGTCAAAAACCATAGTTCAAACTTCAAGTGAGTTAGTGAACTATTATTATAATTACAATATATTATTATTGTATTTGTATATTTTAATATCCGTTCATATTTAATATTTTTTTCCACCTTCAATAATAATGATAAAACCTATTCAATTATTCCGAATACATAATTATGTATTCATTTTATACATATAGGTACCTAATTCTAAAATAATAAGTACCTATAGGTATTTATAGGTAAGTTTAATTTTTTAGAAAATCCTAAAAACTACACATGCACCTCTAACTATATATTCCATTGAATTGGTTTATGTTCTACTAACAATAATAATAATTATTGTATATTTAACATATTATAAATTTTCAAATTAAGGATATAAATATCCTTATTCTCTTTTACAATGAGGATGACTTGAAAACTGAATTATAATTATGATTTATGATTTTATTGGTTACATGCGATCAAAGTAGGAATTACTAAATTACTACCTGTGTACTTATGCGATATTGCGGTCATTAGTACACCACTATTATATATATAATAGCGTCAACTAGTAAGAAATACGATGATAATATAATAATGTATATGCGATTATAAATGAATCTATAATAAATTTATTTTCAGCCGTCTGTGGTCTTTGAATATTTCCCTATACAAATATTATTCTATTAAGGCCATCCAACTACTATCGCGGGTTTAATGGATGTGTTATGATTGACACAATTAAAAAAAAAATTACAAATACAAATATTCATTCAAATTGTGTAATTTTAATTTTATAATGATGGTACCTATCATATATACCTATAATATTGTTGTAATGATATTAAATTACAGTACATAATACAAGGTTGATTTTTTTTTAATCATGAACCAGCAATTACAATTTCGAATATTCTAAATAAATGTAATCTTGGATTTTGCTTAAGTCATGATAATAGGTACCTACTTACCTATAACTAGAATCGTTTTTAGTTGTATAAGATCGTAAATTTTCAAATTGGGTTTTTCTTTTTTATTATGTTATTTAGATGAAGTAATTGTATTATTGTAATTTTTTTTTCGCAATGTAGTACAAGATTTGCGCGTCAACTTATTATTTCACGTATACTTAAATTATTGACGTATTGTTCAAAATGATAGATGTGTGTATAGATTATTACACAAATGTGTTAATAGTTTATAATTCAATATTGTACTTTTAAACTACTAGTATTATAGTAATTTCTATGTTTTACTAATAATGATGAATCATTAAGTTACCTACTACACTATGGAACACAAGTTTGTGTAATCGTGGTGTTCATTAGATTCTGAATGTAAGGAGGAATGTATTAGTTTTACTGTTTATTTTTTTTGCCAACAACTTTTCTAGCAGAAATCTTGTTCATTAATTAAATTCAGGGGTAGTTTGTGGTAATAACTTTTTCTGGTTGGTGTAAATCATCAGTTGGAGATTCGTCATTTTTTGATTTTCGAATAGTTTTTCTTAATAATTGATAAAAAAAAAAAAAAAAACGGGAAATTTACAAAATAACGGATGAGGTTATTTTCAATTTTATTTTTTTGTTGTAATTCATTTAAAAATAATTATACTTCATAGAGAGACCAGGCCTTTTTACCGAATTCTCCTCCCTGATCGAGGTTAAATTTCAAAGCATTTAGAAAATTATTGAGCCATTTAAAATTGTCTTTTTTTTTTTTTGTTTATACGAAAATATATGTTCATCATAAGTTGTATGAGTGGCTAGAAGAAATAATATCGGTTTTTAAGCCTATAAGTTCGAATTTTTTATGAAAATTCTAAAAACCGTGGCATTTTAAAAAATGACTAGCCGGACTTTTCTCAGAATCGTTTTTTATTAGCAATGATTTATCATTGAGTACAGATATAACTTAATTCGTTCTATATATATAATCTTCTCTATTTTTCACCATCCTACCTACAACAGTGGAACACCTGCTAAGTATCAGCATTATCAGTTCTTTTTTTCTTTTTTTACCTTGTATTTCATATCATAATATACCTGTATTATAATTTATAAGTAAAACTCTGCAAATTTGTTTTTGTTGTGTATTTTGAAGTATTAATTAATTAATTATTTTAATAAATAATTGTGCAAATTTGAATCGTCTGTCTTAGGTAGGTAATTAAAATATTGTTATTAATTTGTTTTGATCACTTAATAAGTCGGTTTTAAAGTAAAATACAATTGTATATATAATCTAACCTAACCTGCCTAGACGCAGTGAATACAAATACCTTACAATCCGGGTTTAATTATTATATTTAACAATATTCTAGGTGTAGGAATTTAATTTAGCGAACGATCCAACCATTTGTAATTTATTATAACATGGCAAAAAGCCCTATAGTCTATTACAAATAACATAAATTAGTTATTTTAAGTTTTAGCTCATATTATAAATAATGAACAAGGTCGTTATTTAGAAGACTATATTCTATAAACAATAACCCGGGGCGTTTTTTAATTAGACACCGCGAAATATGTATATATTGTTACAGATCTTCTTATACGAGTACCTAATAATTCGGTTACAATTTGATAGTAAAAATAAATATAAATCACCTTGTTGTTTTAAAGGAACTAAATATTCTATTTTTTGGTAAAGAAAAACAACATCCTTACTCTGAAATTGACAGGTAACAAATTTTTTAATATATAGTTCTGGTAATCAGAACACAAAACTAATCAGATTGACTTGGTTTACTCAGAATCTAAAATTAAGTATTTCTAATAATTTGAGTTACACAAGTTATGATATTTTATATGGTACGTATATTTTTTCCCTCTAATGAAACAGTTTTGTTAAAAAACAAATTTATCGTCAAATACATTATATGCGTATCTGTGTTATAATTACCATACAGATTATATACACATATTAATATTAAGGCGCCAGGTGCCAGTTTTGCAATTATTTTCAAATTTTGTAAATTTTAAAATATTTTTAACAGTTAAATTACCACTTAAAAGATTTTTCTACTAATTTACTACCAGATTTCTAGAACCCATTTAGGGGAAGGGTCGGTATGGCCGTGCAGGAATATCTCATTGAAAACATATTATTTTTATTATACATATTTTTGTTTTTAATTGATAAAACAATATTCTCGATTTTTCATTTGATTTCAAATAATAGTATAAATATATTGATAAAAAAAAAGTTAAAATTTGACCGCTCTAAAAAGTTCGACATGAAAACACTGAAATACAGTGTTTAATTTAGTCTGTAGGAAGTCTTTTTCTTTATAACATAAAAGTAATCATAATCGGACTACTTTACGAGGCATAGAGAAATTGTCTCGTAAGGCATGTTTTTGAGCCAAAAAATGCGCTGGCACCAGGCCCCTTAATATGAAATGCTCGTTTCTTTAACAGAATAATGCAAAATATCGCCTTAAAAATTAAATATAAATGTATACGAGTAAATATTTGAGTTGGTACAATAATACGATATTAGATTTAGTTTTGGCGATCAAGAATTTAAGGATGAAGTTAACTAATGTATTAATTCAATTTAATATTTAAAACTATAACCGAGACTACTTTCAATGTGCGTGGCCAATATATTCGTAATATGTTCAATCAAGGTTTATTGATGGCGTATCTAATTAATTCAAAATGCGATTTGTACGTAATCTACAATCTATTTGATATTTACAATATCTACATTATAATAATTATTGCGAAATTATTAGTATAGACTATAGGTATTAGGTATACCTCCTATTATGTTGTCTAAAAATATTTTACCTACAAGCCAAACAATGCGACACGTGTCAGTTTCCATTTTAACGTGTATTTATTTGATTTTCTATACATACTATTCAACTCTGGACTTGTAGATAATTAATAATTGTCTATTAATAATAATATATTTCAGTTATGTCGATCTAATATAGATAAATTATCATCATGTATACTATATACAGGTTACTGCTACATAAATCACAGTATTCGCCATTCAAGAAATTTAATAAGTACAGTGGTGAATAGGTCACTGGGAAATAATTAAAAAGTGAATTTTTTTATTTTTATTATTTTTCAATAGATAATATTGAAAAATGATAAAAATTTAACAACAAATTTTTGTATTCGAGGCCACGGAAAATCGTATGTACGTGCATCTATAAAGTGTGGCCTATTACGAGATTTGCGTATTCAATGAATTGTAGGTGTAATATGATTATTTTAAAGTAAAAATGTCTTGGCAGTTAACCCGTTTTCAATTTGTAAGAATTTATGTGATTTGGTGGTTTTCTTGTAGAGAATTAATTTTTTAAAATATATTATGCTTTATTAAATTCTTACCGAGCTCTCCTGAATCGTAACCGAATGAATGATCGTTGTCTGGTGAATTCGAAGACACACATGTCAAACCTGTAATATAAATAATGGTTAAAAATTAATTTAAAAAATACACTTTACAGAGTTATAGTTATTGTTTATATACAGAAATCTTCGTAACGTTGGTAAAAGAAGTATAATAATCTGAGAATTGATAAATTATTACATCAAAATATGCACGGAAATTTGATTTGCATTGAAAAATGTAAACATTTTTATTTTTATGAACTAAAATTTTCATAAAAAAACATTTATTACGTTAAGACATACAAATTATCATAATCATAATAAATTTCTGCAATTCATTTTGGGAGTTTGGGGGGTTAGCCCTCCTTCCTAAATAAATTTCTTATCAAGTGAATACCAAATATACACAATATACAATATTATTCAATATAATCATGGCTTAAGTCCAAAAAAAAATATTTGGGTTGTTTGCACTTATTTCTATTAAATATTTAACTTTATACAGGTACATATTCATTACGATATACGTATACTGATAGTACCTAATGATACATAGTATAATGAACGATAATAATTTGTTGAGACAATTTATTAATGAATAACGACGTTCAAGATTGTGAATACACACGCAGTGCATCAATTTGAGATCAATAAATGAGATGCAAAACGAGTTTTTACACTATGCACCTACCTACTCAGACACTGGAATAGAATAAAACTTGGTACGAAATCTGGTCTGAACGAGTATAATTTTAACTTTTTAAAATGACCCTGTGTTGATTTTTTTAAAAAAATGACAGAGCTGTTATTTTATCTGTTATAATATTATATGTGCGTTCGATGAGCAAACAACGCAGGGTTGGATTCGAATGAAAAAACGTGTTAAGTCACGAATATGATTTAGTGAGACAATGCGAATTGCCAAGGGCGACTATGTCGCCATATTTTACCGATCGAGAAACAATAATATTGATAGTTACGATAAGACTACCATAATATATAAGTATACATTAATTTTACGGATACAATAAATATACTGTAATGTATAATCGTTTGGACATAATATTGTTATGACTTCTATAAACTTAATAAAATTTGTTTTAAGACGCGTCAAAATAGTAGTTCAAACGATAATAAATTCCGATATAATATAATATTATACAATTTAAATTAAGTATCTATATCATAATTCTAATTATATTTATCTAAGTTGGTGAGACGGGAAAATAAAGACAGGGTCGATAATAAAAGTGAAACTGTCAATATAGGTACTTGGATATAATAATTGTTCTTTATTATTTAGAACGTTAGTCGTGTTTATTATGTTTTTTTAAAAATAAGACGTCCGGAACTCTAACGATGGATTAATAACGTGGCCACGTTAGGTTTATAGTAATTGAATTCGGAGGTTTGACGAAGACAATGGAATAAATCTTGGGACATATGTTGGTTGTTGATGGGCGGTAAAGAATTCCCAGAGAAAATGTATGTAGGTAGCCCTCGAAGTTTATTACCCTGTTATGGTGTTGGAATGCCGTCGGTCAGTGAAATCGTTTGTCTAACAATTTTTAAGCGTTACGGATGACCACGTTTGATGTTAATGAAATCGTGCGAAGTTAGGAGGACTCTGCAGTTAAGCTATTGTTGTCATCAATAGATTCGACGTATACGAAAAATCCCTATGGTCAAAGTGCCATATTATTATTGTTGTTGGGTATTTGTTTCGGCTTGCTTCTTTATACAAGAGCCGATCAAAGAATAATACTGTCAAGACGTACTTCAAATCTCAAAGACTAAAGTCATATTATCTTAAATAAACTATTTATTAGATAGATGAAAAACGATCAAATTATGACAAACCAGAAAGCCAAGATAATTAAAAATAATAAGTAGTTATTTTAAAAGAAATATAACGTTGACGCTTTTTAACTATTTGTGATATCACATTATGCAGTAGTTTTCGATGGTATCGTCTTCAGTGGCGTAACTTCAAAATTTGAGCCTGGGAGCAAAATTTTCAAAGTTTCCCCCATATTATTAAATATGCATATTATCGTTTATTTTATCATTATTGATATAAATAAAGAATAAAACCCGACGTTTGACAATTAACAATAATGATAAAACTTAAAATCATATTGTTTTCACCACAGAAGGTACCATACTCAAACTCATTACTCATAAACATAGTATTTTCACTCATACAGACTACAATATAATAAAGTAATTTTGAATTATTATAATGAAAAGTTAATTATTTACAAAATGATCAGTTTAATAACATATTATCAAAAGAAAAACATTGTATTACTTTGGGCACCCCAAAGTGAACGGACCCAGGTGCGATTACACCCTCTAAGTTACGATACGTCACCATTGATGGTTTATTAGTTTATCAGCTTTAATCGTTTATCGGCGAATTTTTATTGGGTAAATATTTACGATTAGCACTATATAGTTATACGAAACTTTCTCAAATTTCCATGCGAAATCGATATGGTAAGGAAAACAAGTTGTAGGATAAACGTTTTGCAATTGCAATTATTACAGGCTTGTGCAGTAGACTCTTATGCCCTAATGCAGTTCTAATAGTAAACACCAACTAAGTCAGCAATTAGTTATTAGATCATTTAGATTTATATGATACAAAATGCAATGTATAGTGTTGATTAACTACTAATCAAAATAAATCGGTAAATAATTTGTCGATTTTTATAGCTACCGACGAATCCGTATTAACCAAATTATAATGACCCAAGGTCAAATAAACCTAATAGAAAAAAAAAAAATATGTTTTTCTATGTATACTTATTTCTTATATTATATACCTATTTAGTGGTTCAATAAAAATCATTTCCCATTAGGCGAGATGTTATGCAAACTTAGAATTTTAATTTCAATTATTACAGTATAAATAATTTTTTCCTCTAAACTGTTTAGGTATTAGTTAAGTTTTTAAAAACTTTACAGGGTTAATAGGGTTTATAGGTTAGAATCATCTTCGCCTTTCCCTCAAACCGTAATCCGACTGTGGTATTGACTAATGCGTTTTAGAACTTGTAAGATTACTATGGAGTATAGGTACTTTTTTTTTCAAAATTAAAATGTACCGTTCGGTTTTACATAGTAATAGTAATATTATTATTAGTAGTAGAATAATGCGAGCATAGTTAAAACATTAAGCACTATTTGTATTCTAATTTATATATGTGTAAGTACATATCATGTTGTACTCATGTTGTATCATATCATACTATACCAAAGGGCTCATCTCGTTCATTTATAATAAATACATAAATATAGTATAAACGATTGACAACTATAGTCCAACTATTGGTTGTTCTATTGACCCATAAAGTAATCTACTATAAACGTTGATCACATTTTAATAATTACTGGCCAACTACTATAGTCACCAATTGCCATAGTACAGCTTGCCTTCTATAATTGATATAATGAAAAAGCATCATGATTCTTAAAGGGTTTATCCGTCCAACTAAAACGACAAGAACTGCAGGTTATATATAAAGTAATGCTTTTGCCTACAGGCGATATCGTATTCCGGAACAAATTGTTAACGGATGAAATATATAGGTGAAATACCTAGGTGATTGTGTTTTAAACCAACTGTTAAATCAACCGGAGGTGAATTAAAGGCACAATATAACAATATTATATGTTGTCATTGACACTTCTTATTCTACACTATTATAATTACAATAAAGGATTTAAAACTAAAACTATAAATATATTCAATCGTCTACATGTTGAGTTATCGGTGTTACAATATATAATTAATACGATTAATCATTGCTAACGAAAAACGATTCTGAACAGAATTTGGTTATATACGTTTTGAAAGGCGGTATAAATATATTTATTATTTCTATCAAAATTTGGTATTAAAATTCTTATAAAAAATTCAACATTTTACACACTCAATTTTTTAATATAAAAAATACGCCTTACAATGAATCTCCTGTTAATTTTAACCATTTCTGTCTGATTTAACAATTTTATCCACAGAGTATAAACTTAATACAAATTATGTAAAAAACTCGCCAAATTAAAATAACTATAAATAATTCAAAAATGATTGAAATGTTTTGAACATTTTATCGCGTCTATAAAAGGCAAATATAAGTTTTCTTTCCAAATTTCAAGCCTCTAAAAATATTTTTAAGTGAATCACAAAAAAAAGAGATGACACTGAAGATGAGTGCTGCCACTGTTGTAGGTAGATAGTGGGGAAGGTTGGATACATGGGATTATTTAATTTAAATCTGTAAGCGAAGATAAACCATTGTTGACGAAAGACGATTCTGAGCGAAGTTCGGAATAATTTGAAGTGCCGTAATTTTGTTTTGCGATTTTCGTCTAAATTTGATTTCAAAACCCGTTTTAAAAAAAGAAAAAAAAGTTGTCCGATAATTTTGGAAACTTGACAACGTCTAGGCAAGTCCAATATAAGTATAACTACCAAGTTTAAAGTCTCTACGTGTACTTATAATCGAATTAAAGCAAAAAAAACTTCTACAAATTAAAATTACTTAAAAGCTCAAAATTGGCTCAAAAGTTTTGACGATGATATCTTAAGAAATTAAATCAAAAAAACGTTTTGCGATTTTTCGATTAAATCATTTTTAAGTACCATCTAGACAACTTAAGCTTTCAGAAAAGTTGCTACACGTAAAAATTGAAGCGAGTTTACTAAGAAAAAACAGACTAGAACAAAGAAAAAATAAGAAATAAACAGCATTGTAAAACCCTCGCTAAGCTCGGAATCTAAAATTATTGAAAATAATATATTTCGTAAATTTGTCTGTTTTTAAAAAAAAAAAAAATGAAAACTACTTAGAAAATCAAAAATGACTTCTTTAAAGTACCAAATAGATAAAATTTCCTTTGAAAAAAGATGCTACACTTGAAAATTAGAACAAAATGTCTAGTAGAAGAGTTGTTCATTGATAAAAAAAAAAAAGTATATAAATATAAACATCATTATAAAACCAATATATTCCTAGATTCGTTCAAAATCTGAAAAAAACGCTATATCCGCCAAAATATTTCGCTCTTTAAATTTTAGTACCCGTATTCGAACTCCATAATTATTTTTAATGTCCTAATATTAGTTTTTAGATATCACTGTCCTCTTGGCAATATTGTTATAATCGGTATTTATATAAGTACCTAGTAATAATATTTTTAATTATCCGTGTGTATATAATAATAAATATTAAATCATTACAGTATAGAGTAAACGAGAGGTATACTTGTACATAATTATTTAATTAGGTACCATGTTTATATATGAAGCAGTAAACCTTTCACTTATACACGTAAATCACACAAGATCTTTATCATTGTACACAATATAGGTACATTTAAAACACCATTTCCCTGCAAACAAATTTGGACAGTATCTTAAATACGTGTGTCAGTATCGTATGTTAGTAAATCGTATCTTGTATGGCGATTAAGTTTCGAAAAGTGTCCATTATCTTGAAATAGTAACCCTTGTTTAGTAGCGAAGGCTACCTAAATATTCACTTTGAAGTATCTTGTTCATCTGTCTTGGAGTAGTATACTACGGTGTTGGTTTTGGAGGTTTAAACCATTTGATATACACCTATAATAATTTTTTCTTTCTTTTTTAATAACATCTTCAATTATTCTAAAAATATATTATGATTTGTTAATTATATTGCAATACGTACCTATAGTACCTACCTACTAACATTAATTATTTAAAATCACCCTCATAAAGTATACCATTGCCATTTCGTATAATATATACTTAAATATTAATCTTTGGATGTACTGCTATACGTACATTAAAAAAAAAGCTATGCGAGAGCTCCCCGCATCACTATAACAAGAATGTTTTCAATTATTAATTGCAATAAAAATAAGAGGTCATCGCACATCAAACGACGTAGAATATATTCGTATACGCACGTCGCATAATTGTACACGCTGCAGAAACCGACGACGAGAAATAGACAGAATACACGAGGTCTCTTTAATACCCGTGTTCTATACATTCAAATAGGTTTTTATTGTTGGAACGAAATCTGCCCCATTGTGATGATCGAAAGTATAATATTATATTCAACGTGACAATAATGAAATTATCCAATATTATAATAATATTATAGGCACAGGTATATTTTCATGTCTACTATGTGATTACGAAAAAAGAAATCTTGGAGTTTTTAAATTTGTCTGTTATATGTGGTTTTATTTTTTAACATCTAGGTACGATGTAGTTAAGTGGTTTCAACAAGTTAGCGAATTCCAGTTTTAATTTTCGTAGGGAGAGGGTTCTATATGGTTCATTCATATGTTTTACAAAATTAATTATGCTATCTACTTACTACATAGTATCATTAATTACTATGAATAGTATACACATTATATATTAATTAATATTATAATCAACGCATGTTTTATAATTTGTGTGTGTTCTGGAATATTAACCATATATTACCTCGTCATGTGTATTGTATTCACAATTTTTTTTTCATTATTTTACAGTAGGTACCTTCGAATGATGACGGTTAATAAAAACAGTTTCACACGTCGTCGTACTTACTGATTAGACGACTGACTGGTCAGTAGTTTTTCCATATTGTATGTGTTATTGTATATGACTCACGACAATTATATTACACTATTACTCATTTATACGGGTAATTATTCAATTTAATTCTCATACTAACTAAGTAGTCTATAATAAAATTAATATAAGACCAATAGTGCAGAAAAGCTGGTAATAAGGCATTTCAAATATTTATTTATTTACATAATGATTTTGAAAACGTGCGTTTGAATACAAATTCAAAATTTCGGCATATTGTATATATTTACTTCTAATTGCGGTTTTTCGTAATTTTCAGGTAGGTATACAAAATATTGAAAAATATTGAAAAATTATAATTATGTACACTTCGTAAACACCATTAGTTTTCAGATAGGTACCTATTTAGTATATACAATCCTAAAGTTGCTAACACAAATAAATATTGTGTTTAGTTGCTTATAGTTTTATGCTATTACAAAACGATAGATCTGAGATAAAGGAAAACCTGCACATCGTTGTAACTTGTAACAATAGCTTCCTGAGCTTCCTTTGCTTGAATAAAATAACAGTCGTAAATATATTATATAAATAAAAATATATTAATATCAGTAGTTGGAGTAATAGCTATTTATAGTTTTATTTGCTAATGTAGGTTCATAGGAATGACACTGAATAACTTTAAATGTTAACATTTTTATTTTGTTATTTTAAAATGTTTTAAATATTATTGTTCGCATAATATTGCTAACAGTGCATACGCACTTAACGTGCATCTAAATAAAAATGTATGTTTTTTTTTGTATCTGCAGCTCATGCTTAAACATAATGTAAATTTCTAAAGTTACTCTTTGACACCGTTCTCAAATTTAAATTTAAAAAAATACATTTTATATTGCTCACTATTATATATCATCATATAATTAAATATGGCCAAAAGTAATAATTTCTAACGACTAATTTGGTATTTTTCGTGATTTTTAATGCTATATTTAAGTGTTATAATTTAATATAATTACCGAGCTAACCAGAGCACAAAAACCAATTTCACTTGAATATTTTATAGGTATGCCAAATCAAATCAGATTATATTTTACCGTAAAATAACATTCAACATTTATATAGGTACATAATGCACATTGCATATCGTGCATAAAAAGACGCCAAGTACAAACTGTGTCATTGAGTTTTCAAGAAGCACAATTTAATATCCAAAATTGTACAGACTTTATTCAAGAACATCGAAACATCGAAATTTGAGTATTAATAATGTTTAGAATGAAGTAGATTTTAAATCTATTGAATTTGACTTAAAAAACTAAACAAAATGTAGAATAAAACAATCCCAAAACGTTTTACTGAAGGTATTAAAACATAATATTTTCCAATTATTAAAGATGAATACAGGAAATTATTTTACAAAAAGTTCAACGCTTTACAAGTTCAAAAAGTTCATTAAGAGAAAAGTTTCAACAAATTTCATTGAGTATCTTTCATGTTTAAAAAGTTTGATTATTGGAAAAAATTTAAATACAAACATAATTGATTTTTATGGATCTGATTTTGACAAAGTAAAATTAAAATTACACAGAGGTATGTTTTTAGATATAGCAAAAACATTAGGAATGATAAAATCTTATGTGACTTATTACCAGATTTAAATAAACTATTAAGAATATGTGTTAAAAATACTAGTATCTTATTGTAGATACCTACAGGACTACAGCAAAGAGGTTCACTTCAGAGACTTAGGCCATATTTCAGATCCACAATGTTTCAAGAAAGTTTAAATGATACTTAAATTCTCTATGTTCATAAGGATGAAGAAGTTAATCTACCAGTAGTTGCTAATAGTTTTATTAACAGTACGAAAGTAAACAACTTTTTAATTAGTCTAAAGTAATCTGATATAATTTATACAAAATACATTTTTAACTATGTGTATTGTGTATGTATTATGATTAACCTATATATGGTAAAACATAATAATAAAGTATCTAAATCTATTAAATAGGCCTTAAAGTAAATGTTTTATGATAATTTTGATTCATTAGTTGTTAAATGGATGTAATAAATTCACTTATATTAATTAATTCAGACTGTTTTTAAAAATGACGGGTGTATCATAGCGCAGCTCCATAACAATTCCAAAACCTGACGCCTATGATTGTGTATAAAGTTATATTCATAATTATCTAAATAATAATTTGTATAAAAATACATAAGTAATCGTTTTAAAATTAAGTGTGTTAGGTGTTTCCTCATTGCGTATTTAAAAAAAAATGCTTTATTAATTTTCTATTTATTTTTATTGTTTTAAGAAAATCGTATATTATAGCGGTTCCTAAAATGTTGAGAAGACGGTTAGGCACTTTTTTTAAGATTCAATTGTGGTGCACAAACACTTTAGTTTTCATTGATAATTGATTGAAAAATTACAAAACAATAATACAGGGTAGAAAAATGTCTATAAAAGTGAAAAGTTAATCTGATGTAAATTTAAATCTGCAAAAACAAATTGTTTATTCTGTATGGGCCGCAGTAACTCTGGGTGCACAGTTTGGGAACCCTTGGTGTATTATAATATTATTTTTGATCAATTTCGACCAACTCCAATTTAAGGTATATGTAAAACGTGGTGCGTCATTATATTTTAACTTTTCTTATGGCAATATTATACAAACATGAATCACGTGTAGATATACGAGTTTCAATTATTTAAGCCATTATTATAAAAAAAAAAAAAATAAACTATGTACGACATATATATACATTAAGTCTTGATGTGTTATATATAACATTTAAAACACGATTATGTTGCTGTGTTAAATTATAAATTGAATGGGCTATTATCATATTATTTGTATAGATATCATATGCACCGATTGTGAAAGAATTTAAAAAAAGGGTTTTGAAATAGTCAGAATCATGATAAATAACTAAAAATCAGAAAAAAAAAAAGTTGTAATAAGTATAAGTATAAGTAATGAGAGTTGACCTAATCCCTGAATAATTTTTGATGATGTTATTACGATATTACGTATACACGATATAGTATCATATATATATCGATATATTGGCATGATGGTTCAGTTTGTATTTCTCAGTAATTTCATAATAATAGTAATACACTATACTGATAATTCCTTTATTATTCGAAATTCAATGTTTCAGAAAAACACCATCAGTACAACACAATAAAATTAATTGATCCAGATACGCATTTCCAGTTTTATTAAAGATATTTCGGTATTTTGATATGATAGCATCGATTTAAAATGGTTGTCAACAAATTTCCAAAATTTTGATTTTATTAAAGATACGCATAATAATATTTAGAAGTACAGTAGATACATAAGATATATTAAGCTATACATTATAATACAATATGATATTTACCTAATACTATTTCCCATTTTTTTTTTTTTTTTTTTTTTATGATTATATATTATCATAAAAAAATTGATCCAAAAAATAATTTAAATTTTTTACCAATCTATAAATGGAATAAAATGTGACATGGCACAAGGGGGTGTCATTGGCCCCAAATGACCACCTCGTGGTATTATAGGCCACCGAGTTCGTGACCGAGTATACCGCATAATAATGGTTCCAAAAATTAAATTAAATTTTGACCGCATAAAACATATCGCAACGATCAATAGTGAGTAAAGTCACTAAAAATATATCCTACCAGTAACAGTGTGGTGTCCTCTTAAGTATAGATACTGCAGGTGTCCAGCTGACACAGGTAACAGCAATACCAGGGTGTCTCGTGGTTATGGTTAAGTCAATAGTGTGCAATGGTTACTTCGAGTTATTTGAATTTAATTCTATATGATGGCGATTATATCAATAACGAAAATAATTGTTGGCGTATTATTAACTGTGCACCTATCATAAATAACGCAATGCACATAGGTAATTATAATTACCTCAATTAAAAAGCTGTATTATATGTATACATATAATGATTAAATTATAATTATTTTATTAATATTCATTCAATCATCCATGACTTTTTCTCTCTCTGAAATTCAATTACTAATTACTGATTAGGTGTCGAAGATAATGTGTCAATCAAATATGAAATAATAAAACCTTACTTATATTATTGTTTTAACGTTAACGATTTAAGGTAATACAATTTAGGATATCGTCAGAAACTGCAATAATAAGCTGTGTGGATGGCGAACAGGAATGTTAAAATCAAAAATATGTACGTAATAATTAGATAAATATTAAATTGTTATTCGTATTTTCCGTTTGTTTGTATTAATCTCATAATTAAAAAAACAACTTAACTAGATACTGTAATGCTTGATTTAGGAAGGGGGGGGGAGAACTGAATACCTCAATTAATTTTTTGGATATTTTAGCGTACGTCTACTTTAAAAGGGAATGCATAGTACGGGTTGTTATTTAATCATACATATTTTTATAAAATTGTTCAACTTAAATTTTTGTGTTGAATACCTTACAAAATGTTCTAATATTTACAAAATATATTGACATCTCATAACTGATACGTGATAACTGATAAGTAGTCATCAATGATAACCATTCATTATCTATAAATCCAGGTAACCAGTAACTACTGACCTATTATAGTATTATTATTGAACAACATGCTATTATCTCGTTTGTTCTATGTTTGACGAATGTGTTTAATGCGCTTATGATTAGTATTTGTCGTGCCCTTTATCAACTTCAAAATTGAAAAACAAATTGACGATTTTATGACGAGTAAGACAAATTATACCTAAACAATTATATTATTTTGTTTTATTATAATACGTGTTTAATGATTTTATATTAATTCTTCTTAGGAGACCGTGGATTGCAAGGATTGCAGTGGGGTACCTGCGGTAATATAAAGACTATTAAAAAAGTAGCTAGAGTATCCAGGCCAAGCACTGCTAGAGAGCCGACTCTATTACGAGTAAACGGGAAGCCTGGAAACAATGGCAAACTGAAAGCTGTATTATACCATTTTATTGATTAACCCATGAAATATTTACTTATATATTTGTAATTATTATTTATTTGAAACTGATTTTATCGAGTACACTTTGGTTATTAGCTTCTATAATATACTCAAATAAATTAACAACGAAAATAATGATAATAATTTTGGACGGTTTAAAACATACCGTTATCATGGTTCATCCCATCTAAATACATTACTTCATGCGTGATGTATTATTATGATACAAATCTTTATATGTATATTTATAGAACTAACGAAGATAATAAGTTTAAAAAAAAGAATCCATCACTATTTTTTTGTAATTGATAATTATTCCTGTACACAAATGTGTAATTACGAGTTTTACCAAAAATGATGAAAGGTGACACTGACATAAGTTTTGTCTATGTGTGGTAATACACGCAAATGTGTATAAATAGTATTTTAAAGGATTATGCGAGGTTCAAAATTTCCAATTGAGAACATTTTCCACGATGAAACATTTGTCTACCTTGTTAATCCAAGAAATGTATGTTTCGTGCGATTTGATTTAACATTATTTTAATTAATGTGCATACTATAATATCTATTTACTTATTATGGTTGTTGTTTTTATTTATTTATCTAAAAATTTGATTGATAATATTATAAAAAAATGTTACACAGATTACGTTAGGTTAGGTTAGGCATATTACATAATAATGTGCAAAAAAGATAATAAATGTTTTAATTATGGTTCTCGTCATATCAGTGTTATTATATCAAAAGATTTTTAATAAATACATAAAATATTTACAATATTATTTTGTACAATCGTTAATTATTTGAACAAAAAGTTTGCCCGTGTATTATAATTTACCAGAAAATAGTTTGAACTACATATTAAAATATTGTAGGGAATCTCTGATTTAAAATATCTAATTATATTATACAGAAATGAATTCACGTACTTAAAGTAAACTTGATTTGTGTTTTGCCGGAATGAGACTTATATAGGTAGGTACCTACCATATTGATTATTGTAGAGTGTAATAAATTGTTTTACTACTTATTCAATCTCACAATCTTGCTTAACCCATCATAAATATCTATAGCTATAGGTAATACCTATATCTACTTAACATTTACACAGTTGTATTTTTTTTTTTATTAATTAGCAAACTAATATTTTTTATTGTTGACTATTGTATTGTTCAATTTAATAATTATACAATACATCTACCATTTGAATTGTTTGTACGATTTGTATGTTTTATTTTTGTATTGCTAATTGGTATAGTATTTCTTTGTATTCAGCTGTAATTTGATTATTACATCAGAATTTGGTAGAATTTTGAGAAGAGTTGGTACAAAAAGAGAAAAAGGACATTTAGTTTAAACAATATTTTTATGTTTTAATTTTTTTATCATTTTGTATATATTTAGAGCTATTTTTTGGTACATAATACATTATTGGCGCTATATATTGCTCTGTTAAGACCTTAGTGCTTTATAAAAATTTCAAAATTAAAATAATATTATAATTGTCGTGTAATTACGATTAAATGGAGTTACATTATAGAAGATTAAAACATGTTTTGGACAATAATAATATGATTGTATTTGTATTATTATATTTTGAATAGGCGTGCAAGCCAGAGTTTGATAAACTATTTCTACAACGATATTGTAAGTTATAATATAGACTGTAGACACGATTTCCTAAATTTACTTGTACATTTTACTTGAGGAAATATTGTGTTATATTTAAATGATTTAGGTTTTTTTTTTTAGAATTTTACTAAAACATTGGCAACATTTAATGGAAACTTGCCATTCTATGGCTATATACCACGGGTAAAAAAGAAACGAAAGTGACATGGTACAATATGAGTAAGTGTTTTAGATTCTGTTATTTTTTCTATTACTTGAGAGATGAGACGAGTACTAGTTTAGCATCAGTAATATTTAAATTTTTCAATAAAAAAACGCAAAGGATAAAATATACCTATAATATATTTTTTTAATTTAAAATCAATAGATTACTAAGTCTCACCGAGAAAAACTGGTGTGAAGGCCCAGGAGTTATTTTAGTTACCTATATATACAATACATGGGTAAATACTTAATTTAAAATAAAGAAATCAATTTAATCTTATCCAATATTATTGTTCTGTCACCTACGAGCTAAAATCAGATTTTGAGATTATTTGTTATTTATTGTCAATAATAATCTATACAAATATTGTCGTGATGATCCCATCATATTATTACATCCATCATTTCCAATTCCGCAATAAATATACTTTCATTTCTATTATGTTTTCGTTTTATATTATTATTAAGTTAAAAAAAAATATGTTTAAAACAATTATTTGACTGTCAAGTGGATATGTGCAAATAAATAATAAGTACTATTTGTTTATAGGTATACTTTATTGGATACATTGATCGAGAACGCAACATGTTTTATTTATTATTATATTTAACTCAAAAATCTATACAAATAATTTAAATATAGGTAGATACGTTGCAACTCTAGATTTAAAAAAAAAAAAAAACAAAAAATGGTACCTACGTATGTATACCTTGATGATTACATCAAAAAACCCAAATCTATTCGTTCTTGTGTTTAGAACGAAACTTATCCGATTTACCTACTATACAATTAATAAGAAGTTTCGAATAGTAATTACTAATTATATATGTTAAATAAACTATTTGTAATTATATATACTATAATGCTTAGTCATTTTATTTCAATGATAATTTCAAGACAGAATGATTCGTATGAATTATAAACATTAATTACAAAAATATATATATTAAGAATTGATCTTATTTTTAGCCTACAAGTTATACAATATGACGCAATTTTCAACGTTGTCTCCCTCCTTGGCAAAAATACGCCTCTGATGAGGAGGGAAAAGACTAACTTTTAAACATTTTTATCATTTAGGTTATTTTTTTGTCAAAAGTAAATATTGAAGGGGAAAAGGTTATGAGTGAGTAAAACCTCTTCCTTGAGTACGCTTATCGAATTGAAAAATCTCCGTATGTGTTCGTGCAAGCCATGTTAAAAATATTTCGCGAAAAGGATGATAACAAAAATTAGAAAAAAACACGGTTTATTTGCATATGCAGTTCGACCGAGAACTTTATACGAATACGTGGAACGGCCGAAATCGGGCGGAAGAAAAATTAAAAAGTAAAAACCAGCCATCGCCGTCCTCGTATGATATATACACCCGGACTCGTTAACCTCCCGTTTCGCATAACATTATATTCCTTATTTACACTATATCGTTTGTTTTTACGTCTTTACATAATATTATAAATATTCAGAAACGATATTATCCAATTGTATACTGACAGCAGGACGACCATATTATTATAAATTATAATAATATTCACAGTCCCAGACTCACTTTTTATGTAGGCGCAGACCAACATAATATTATAATAGTATATTATCGTGATGATAAAATGTTTCGTATTTTTTAATATTTCCGATACTCGAAGAAAGGGCGGAAGCCGGGTAGAAAAATCACCACACAAATAAACAATATTAGAAACCTGCCGGAAATTTAACCGGTTGTTCCCTACAGCGGCGACGGCGGCGTTTTATAATTATATAGGTACGCTCTAACGGAGTGTACAGTACTCGTAATATTATTATTTTATTATAATATACGTATTATAACGACTTTGACGATATCGCAAGTACCTTAGGGGTATAGCCGGTGGTAAAAATAATAATAATAATAGATAAAATAGGCGTACGGGTACACGTCTCGTGAAGTAAACGGGCGCAAAAAAAAAAAAAAAAATGAATAATAATAAAAAAAAAAAAATGCAGGTAAATCTACGGGCGCGCGTGCGGGACGAATGCTGTCCTCGTGCCAATATTTTCCACCGTTTATCACTGTGTACAGCGGCCAGCACGTCGGACATGTGCAGTTTTACGATTGTGCAGGGCGAACGAAAGATAATCGGGAAAATTGCGAGCGAATTTCGTAATAATAATGATATTATTGCGGTCCATTTTTTTTCCCTGTGCACGCAATGTGCATTTTTTGTTCACTATTCTTTCCTACCAAACCTATTACATATTCTATTATTATTGTACATTAACAATATTATAACGTTTCGAAACGTCCTCGCGCAATATTTATTATAAATATTTTTGCTTTTTTTTTTTCGGATGATATAATAATATATGTATATAGTGGGATATTTATCATCCGATAAAACGTAACAAACGAATTTATCGAACAATAATAAAAAAAAAAACATTCAAAGAGTACACACTAACAGCCGGAAACAACTAAATTCACAAACAATTTTTTATATTTTGCTAATTGAAGTGAACCGAATTTTACACAATCCCGCGTGTTTTGATTAAACAATTTTTCGCGCGGTTTTTTTTTATTATTTTTTACGCAAATACGCATTTTATAAATAATAATAATATAATATGATTCATTAACGTCATTTTGTTTTTTTTTTTGGGAAGGGAGTGAAAAACTCGTTTATTTCCCTCTATACAGTCTACTATTATTATATCGCTTGTTTTGAGTTGACAAATACACTATTAATTTCGTATATTGTGTTGGATGTACATTGTACCTGCAATAAGACTTTTTTTTTTAGATTAATGCGTAAAAGAAATAAAAACAATCGTATTGCAGTCGGTGCACGTTTAATAATTTTCAAACTTTGCCTGGGTCTAAAGAAAACATAATATTATAGGTGTACTGATACTCGTAGATAAAACGAATTGGAAAAAAAACAAGTGCATTGAAGGAAAAAAAATTAAAACTAATTCTAATGAACGAGATATTTATTCGGCCACAATCGTTGTTACTGGGTTAAGGTTGATAATCAAATGATTTAAATATAATTATAATAATTGTTATTTTTTATCTCATAATAAATATTTTATTATTAATTTAACGACGCGCAGCGAAGTTATGAATGATTATAAAACAGGTGTTAACAATCGCCGGGCGGTCGTCTTATAATATTTTTGTACCTTGTATCATTAATAATAACCTGATCCCATCGCGATACTTATATTTATACGCATTGTGGTTTTAATTTTGTTTTTTTTTTTTTTTTACAGCTAGATAGTTAAAAAAAAAAAAATCTCTTATTGGGCGATATTATTCTAGAAATATACGGATTTTATATTAAACGCCCGCGTGTGTCACATTAATGTCAATGTTTATAGCTGGTAACATTGTATTGATTTAGATACGTATATAAAATATCATAAATTGATCGACTCGGAACAAAAACAGATTCGAAAGTACGTTTAGATAATAATAATAATAAAAAAAAAAAAAAAAATAGAGTGCCAGTGTATCTACCTAACGGTAATGCGGGGCGTTAAATATTTATTTACCATGCCATTATAATTTTATTTTATTAAAAACGACGGTGATTTTTTTTTTTAGTTTATTATTATTTTATTAACGTTTGGCCGTAATATTATTTTAAGTATAGGGTTTTAAGTGAGTATACATTGAACAATATCATAATTATTACGTGTATTACAATAATATTATAGTTTAATAACACGGGTACAATAATTAATAATAATAATAATAACACGTGTTAGTTACTGCCACTTAATGGCATTAAGATTTCATTATTTAAAAATGCGTAGTCGGATTATGTTTTTTACTAAAAATATTAATCCAATAAAAATATCAAGGGACCGTTTTTGTTGAATTTTGAATCTAGTCGGTACAACCCAAACGACTCCCGTCGAAAAAATTTACACGAAAAAATTTACCTACTGTAAATTCCCAAACAACTCCGGTATTCGGTACTACGACAAGTACATTTCTCGTAATAAAGTACAGATGCGACGCAGAAAACATTCGTGTCATCTTACTTTTTGCGATAACGTGTTCTATTGGATCTATTATTGGAGTTTGAATTTTACGTTTCAAACATTGTATGCCTAGGTATATATGAATTATTGCTAAACGAATTTTATCTAATTTATCGACTTTTACTAATTTTATTTATAAAATTTAACCGGATATGCGATATGGATATGGCACATTTTGTACATTTGTGAATAGATTTGTGTTGTAAAAAACCGGAGCCGTTTGGGAATTTTCTTTTTGTAATACGAGAGCCGAATGGGCTAAGTCTGTGTAAGAAAGTAGTTTTTTATTTTCAGTATGGTTTTCTTAATAATTAAGCGAAACCAGAATAAAACGTAGAAGAACGGGAAAGTTTACGAAAATAATGTTCCCGTTAAATAAAATTTCACTATTTTGTGTAATTCAATTACAAATATTCATTGCGTTTTGAAATGTTAAAATTAAATTTACCATTTCTAAACGTGGTATAACAAATTGGTGATTTTTAAGCTATTTATAGGCACCACTTTTTTTCTAGTATTTTAAATAGTTTTTATTCCGTGTAAGTACCATGTTGATATAATTGTTTAACCGAACGGAAATGCTTGAAAATTTAATACGAAGCTCATTATAATTTGTACTTAGTAACCAAAGAAAAACAGTTGAGTGTAATGTAGTAATTTTTTTTTATAATAGTTTTAAGATCAAGTTTTGACGAAAATCATAAATATCGTTCAAATAATCTATAAACGAATTTGGCTTAGAATCGTTTTTCGTTAGCAATGGCTTATCGTTACTTACAGATATAAATTAAATAGTTATGACACTGGCTAACACGATTTATTTTAATCTAAATATTATACTATGCCGCAGCCCGCAGACATATTCTCGAACAATAATATTAATGTTGGCGTTTTCCGCCAAATCGACATATCGTTGAAATAACTAAAATAATAAATATGACATTATATTATAATGTCTACTGTGCATGCTGATTTTTCAAAAACGAATATTTTTCGATACGGTTCTTTAATTTTGCCCTCGGAAACAATTAGACGTTAAAACGCTTTGTGCAAGTTCAAATTTCGCTACTTAACCTTATTTAAAATTGTTCCCGCGATGCAAATCACATATAGAGATATAAAGTTGCTCTAAATCTCATCAACCACCACGCTCCAAATTCAAAATACGCAAATATTATAATATACTTATTATACCATGGGTCAGGACTTATAGCATTTGCTTATTAGGTTTTGGCTTAGCATTAAATCTAGTAGAATGCAATGGAAATTAATGTTGTGTTAAAAGTTTAACCATACAATTTGAAAGAGGGTTTTTTTTAATACGATTGTCTAAAAAAAAATGTTTTGTACTAGAATTTTTTTTTTTTTTTAAATATTTTTAAGGACATATAATTAAGTTTTTTAACAATTTTTTGTTAATTGTAAGTACTTGAACTTCCAAACCCTGCTTATATTAAAATTACAATTTTGACATCCTGAGTCTCCCCTACCTCTCTAATGTACCTGCGCATTAGAATCGGAATGTTTTGTATCATTTAACATCACGGAAGTTTCACATTTAAATCTTAATGTATTTATAATAGTTGCATTAACTTTTAATTTTCATAATATTTAATAGCAACCATCATCTTCGTCATGGTTTTCTATTATACTTATGCAGTACAATATGCATTTTTAATAGTTGTTTGTTTTATTATTATTTGAAATCGAAAATATATTATTATATTACATCACACGGCCGTACCACGCACCATCTGTAATCCGAGAGTTCATCGCGCTCTCGTGAATTATACACGGTTATAGTTTATAGGTATATTATTATTCGCGTGTATAATATCGTATAGGTAATGTCTGGTTAGTGATTATAGTAATAATAACGGATGTTCGGTTTTCCGTTAAAATCGTAGTATAGTATAGAAATGTAATAAATTAATTATTTTAGAAACCGAACGTACAGCGAAATAATAGTTAAGTATAATATACTTAATCAAATATTATAAAACAACAGTGGAATTTTCGCATGATAATATTTCGTTTTCTATCGAAAAACACTTTTTAGGAGAAATAAAATACCTACATAATATTGTGCATCGAAAAATTTTCCACTACAGTTATTTAATATCATCTCTACTTATAAGGGCAAATTAAAACGGACTGGTGTATACCAGCCTGTTTTAATGAGAATATGATTTTTCAGGTTCTCAATAGTTACTATTTGATGTCCAGCGAATCGCTAACTACCGTAAAGGAAAGGTGAAAATGATCTCTCTTTGGAAGAACCTCGATAGGTAAACGTTTAATTATTCGAACACTTATATCTATTCAGGATCATCTTTCAATAATAGCGGGAAAAAAAAAAAGGAGAAAACATTTTGAAATATTTAAAATGGTTCCTTAGTAGGATACTTCATAGTGTTATGCTGAGACGATTGAAACGTGACAAAAACTATGCCAAATAACTCAATATACCTATGGCCCACATACTCTTCATGACCCGTTTTTAGATTCGTATCAAAAAACCGTTTTTAATTTTATGACGAAACTAAATATTTTAGCTTGTAAGAACGAATCTACCTAATCTGAATTAAAGTATCAGCGAGTTTATACTCGTAACATTTCTAATTATTTCATTGTTTTTCTATGTAGGTATCTGCCGGTCATTAGGCCTTTTTCGAAAGATTATGTTTTGAGAAGTCTATACGAACAAATTATCGCCAACAAATATCGTTTTTTTTCTTTTATAGTAAAAATTAACACAAAAACCTTAATGAATTCGAATTGAAATATAATTTCGTTTGCGTTAGCGATTTTGCAAAACAATGCAAGATGTCGGTAATAGTTTATGTTTGCGAAAAAAAAACATATGTTTTTCATTATGTCAGACCCGACTCACGCCACTGCAACAGCATATATTAACAATCGAAAACTCCGTCTAGAAGGTACATGCTGATACTATTTCCTCGAAAACGAGAGCACGTCGAAAACTACGTATCATTATATTGTCCAGCAATAAAACTGGTTTAAGTAAAAAAAATACGAAGGCGACCGCGACGTAGGTGAAGTGTTAACAATACGTTATCGTTGTGGGGTGCGAATTTTTTGTACCGATATAACTGCACGAAAAGGTCGTCGTTTCAACAAAACTACCTGTGTATAACTTGGTACGTACGTGCGTATAACACAGTGCTCGAATAGGAAAAAATAAAAGAAGAGGGACTAAAAGACTTGAAAAAAAAAAAACAATTTTATCGTCTCTTGCTATTATTCAACTCGACGTAATACTACACAATCCGTGGAGGAACATCATCGCTCGCACACAAATTTTTAAACACATTTCAGCGGTTAATAATTTATAAGAAAGAACAAATCATATAACTAAGAGCGCTACTGCAGGCTAAGTTTTCGCATAAATATACATTTATTTTAGATTCTACTGTCATTGATTAACTATGAATACGATAATTCGTGTTGATAAAAATACAAAACCGCGTACCGTCCCGTGCGTTCCGTTTAAAATAGTAGAGGCACGCTGAAATTTCGGAAAAATGAATTGAGGTACGGAGTCCCCCCCTTGCGTCCCCCTCACCCACTATAATAACAACAGCAACGGTTCAGTCACTTACCGGCGATCCAGAGCACGGCGACGAGTTTGACGAACATGATGACGATGCCGAACGAACGGGTATTGGTGGTAACGTTGAAAATATCGGATACGAAATAATTAAATATAGAACGCGGCGGAATTGCGAGTGTATTATGGTTTTTATTTACGATCCGGTGCGTACCAAGTGTGTACGACGTACTCGCGCGGGTGTACGTTACTGTTGCTGCCGCAGACGCCGGTTGTCTGCTGTTAGTTCGGTAGTCGTTTTGTTTTGTCCCGGATTCGAAACCCGTGTCGTTGTACTGGAATAAGTCGCGTCGTCGCGCGCGCACCCTGGCGGCGATCGTCCGAGTCGATGGCGCGCGCCTGCCACCGTGCTCTACTATGATATCATTATTATCATCACGGATTAAAATAGTGTGTGTGTGTACCTTTTAATCTATGACTATGTAATATATATATAAATATTGTGTATTATTATTATTATTATATACTCGCACACTTGTTAATTTTTTATTATTTATTAATATCGTTAAATTATACGTTAAATAACAATAATTATTTGTCGTTATTATTTTTGTCGCGGCACCGTCGTCGTCGTACACCAGAAATCGCAGGGTTATTTTTTTTTTTGCACGCGAGCCTCGGCCGGACACGCGACACATTATATTTCGCCAATTATTCGTATCGCTGCGCGCTCTTTTTTTACCGATTGTATCGACGATAATGACTAGTAGGTGCTCGGGAGATTTTGCTTTATCAATCCCCTCCCCCTCCCTATAAGAACACTCTGGAACGATTTTTTCCCCAACCTGTTCGACAAAATATTCTCCTCGGAAAAGTTTACTTGACTGTTAATTTAGGGATAACTATATATTATTACGTGATCATTAATAAATTAGACGATGGCCAAGACCACCGGTCGTTTAAAGTAAATAGGGTGTACTACAGTGTTATCTTTATGCTAATAACTACCAATATTCATTTTTTTTTTCCAATCGAATTTTGTGCGAGAGAGACACATTTGTTAAAAAAAAATAAAATAAAAAAAAGTTTTTGTCGTCCAATAAGCCAACGAATTCAGAATTTTTGTTTGCAATTTAACTGCAATATTACTAATTTCAAGAATAACTTATAATTTGATAATATTATATTGTTGCAGAATTTATGTATACATCATAACCACTAAGGAAAACACACACTGTTCTTTTAGAAACTAAATCAAAATAAACTTTTCCTTACTTCAAATTGCAATATTTTTTAGTAAATAAGTAAATAATAAGTAATAACTATATTATATTGGTTAATACATTAAAAAAAAAAAAAAAGAAGCATACATAAAGAATTTTAATTTACATCTGTGCGGATTGATATACGATTAAAAACGTAAAACGATTCTGAGCAGATCATTTTTAGTTGTATCTCCTTTTGCCAATAAGGTAACTCAAAAATCAATAAAAGGTATACAAAAAATTGACAGTTTTTACTAAAATATGACGATGAAAGTCAAAAAATGGCATTCTCATTGCACCAACAACTACCTATAGGGAAGAAATTTTACAAGAAAGTTCCTATAAAGCATTTTATTAAAGTAAAATTTCTGTTAGAAAATTTTTTTACAGATATAAAAATAAATCAAATACCGAGTAAAACCAATACATTCCTCGCTTCATTCAAAAAAAAACTTTCAATACGTTATTTTATCAAAAGTACATTTCAGTTGTATATTTTTTACAGCGACATTGTGACAATATTGCTACAGCTGCAATGATGAAACGATAGATTCTTAATTTCTTCAAATATTACTACTAAATTAAATATCAGCTACTGAAGCCAATAAATAAATAAATGCCATAGTGTTCTACATAAATTTACTTAATAGTTTTTATAGTTTATATAGCGGTCAGTATTAATATTATGACTTTGTGTTTAAAAACAATAGGTACACAGGTTTACGAGAAAACGATTTTTTTTTTTTTTCAGCATTCGGTCATACCGTGGCATCCCAAATGCGTATATAGCTACGCCTATTTGTATATAATATCGCGATGGTGACAACGCACCTAATTAGGTATATTATATTATTATATTACATTTAGCATAGTATATCTTAATAACATTGCATTTTCACATGAATAACAAAATCCACTACCGTTATGTTTTGTCGCGTTCGTCGGTTATTACGATAAAGGGCGATCAGGCCTTGGTTTTTTTTTTCACAATATATATTTAATTTGTATTCGATTCTAAGTGAAACCAGGAATTTATTGATTTTATTTTACTTTGATATTGTGTAATTTTTTATTCTGTTTGTAAACAACTTTTTTACCAGAATTCATGCTCTACTTCCAAATTTACTAGATTTGTTAAAATATAATAATTTGTGATACAAATTATAATTTACTGATGAATGAAGAAAAATTGTAATTTGTTCAAGTAATTAAGTAAATTTCTTTTTGAAAGTTTGTTTAGGGTTATTATCGTTATTATTATTATTATTAATTTTTTTTTTTTTGGAGGGAGGAGCACCAAATATTAATATTTATTTACATGATTTATACAAAATATTTATCAGCACCACGATAGAAATGAGATACATAAATAAATAAATAGAATTATAGCCGAAAAACTGTATATACCTTTACATTTTATTGTATAATGTACTTATATAAAAACCACAATAAAAGCTTAATCGTAATATAATTTTTATCGTTGTTTGGTATATACATGAAATAATAACACAATAATGTCCTTTTTTTTTTTTAGAAACTTGAGAGAGGGGAATTACTCTTATAACCCCCCCTTTTCCCCTTTGTACCCGCACCTGACTCATACTGATGTCTGGCTATATTGCATATCATTCTTGTAGTGACTGCGGTCAGAGAGCGTTGTCTACAAAATCGTCGTTTCGGATTTTATGGCCTTTTTTTATCGCGCCTGAGACCGCTCATTTCATTAAATTCGCATAAAATTTATGTTTTCTGATATATTATTATAGTGTGGTGTGCAGTACAAATTACGATGTTCGCGTGTTGGTTCTAGCAGTATTCTAATAAATTGTTATAATATTACAGCTGTATACTTATTAAAACGACGGCGTATATAGGTACCCAAAACCCAACCCGTTAAAACAATAGAAATTTGCGTATATTTGAAGCACATATTATTATGCCGGGTTGCATAGGAATGGAATACAGTAAACTTTGTTTGGTCATTCATCGGCTCTGCAAAATTACAGTTATTAAACAGACTGAGTTTCACGATAAAAGTACCTATTTCGTTATTTGAATAGGAATAATGTCCTATTCATGTAAAGTTATTAATTCATAATTTTATCCGTAGGTATATGAAATATTACAAAGTAATAATAATTTAAAAGATTATTATATTTTTATGAAGCTGCCATTTTATTTACATTTCACAGTTTGTATGTTATAGTGAAGAATAACTCCTCTGCAGCAATAAGCAAATTAAATTACGTTTTTAAGTGAAAAAAAAATTATAATTAAATTATAAGAAGATTTTTCACAGAATATTCTGTGGTTAAACAGCTCTGCAAATTTTACCGTACCGAAATCAGTTTAGAAACTCATGTTTGATAGATGATAACATTGTTATGGATTTTTCAAAACAAATAACCAGTTATCGGTTCTGTAAAGTTGTACGTGTCAGTAATAATGGCAATAATATGGTAAATGTATTTTGTTTAATTTAATCACAATTTATATAGTGTTATTCCCAGGACCAGCACAAAGCTAAATGATATCTCGGGTCAAAATGCCAACTGACGCCATTTTCATACAAAAACCTATAGCATAATACTAAAAAAATTTTTTTTTCATGGACAGAAATACGGAAAAATTATATATTATTATATACAAGGTATGGCTATTAAATAACGAGACTGCTCGCCTAGAGGACGCCCTAGATGGGTAGTGAAAAAAACGAGTAATGCGTTAGGTATCTAGATATCTTATCTATGCACGTTCCAAAACACGTTTTCGTCACTATTAAAGTATTTGTGCAGTAGTGGTTTGAAACGAACGTGTTTTTTTCTCGTGCCGAAAACCAGGTGTGACGAAAAACAGGAGCAACGTATCAATCTCAAATTTCTCGTTAAATTGAAAAAAACTCCGACCGAGTGCTATGAATTGTTGCAAGAGGCCTATGGAGGAAATTCTCTATCTCGTGCACGTGTTTTTGAGTGGTATAAGCGCTTCAGTGAGGGCCGAGAGAGCACTGAAGATGACCAGCGCCCAGGTCGCCCTGTCACTGTTTCAACTCCGGAAACAGTGACCAAAATCAACCAAATTGTGCGTGCAGATCGTCGAATGAGCATCCGGATGATTGCCAAGGCTGTAAACGCCGACAAAGAAACGGTTAGAAAAATTTTACATGAGGAATTACATATGACAAAAGTCTGTGCGAAGTTGGTACCAAAAAACCTGACTCCTGACCAAAAGTTCTTGCGTCAACAGGTCTGCTTAGATTTCCTTGAAAAGTTAAAAGAAGATCCCACACTGATGAAAAACATTATAACTTGCGACGAAACATGGATTTTTCAATTCAATGTTGAAACAAAGCGACAATCGATGCATTGGAATACACCTGAATCGTCCAGAATCAAAAAAGCAAGGATGTCCAAATCAAAATTTAAGGCAATGTTGATCGTTTTTTTTGACATTAACGGTATCGTGATGACTGAATGGGTTCCAGAGGGTCAGACTGTCAACCAGATTTACTATTTATCAGTTTTNGCAACACTGCGAGAAAGAGTTCGTAAAAAACGGTCCGAGTTGTGGAAGAACAACTCGTGGATTTTGCACCAGGACAACACACCTGCCCATAACGCGCTATCTGTGAAGCAGTATTTGGCCGGTAAGCGCACTCCAGTGTTCGAACACGTACCGTACTCGCCAGATTTAGTACCGTGCGACTTTTTTTTGTTTCCAAAGATAAAATCTGCTTTGAAAGGGACCCGATTTGAGTCGATGAAAACGGTAAAGCAAAAAACGGCAGAGCTCCTAAAGGCCCTCACCAAAGAAGACTTCCAGCACTGCTTTGATCAATGGAAAAAACGTATGGAAAGGTGTGTGGCAAGGGGAGGGGAGTATATTGAAGAGGAGCATTTGAATGTAGAATAATTTTTATAATAAAACACTTTTTCGTAACCAGTTTCGTTATTTAATAGCCACACCTCGTATTATGCTTAACAATCAATTTGTTATCGTTTAATAAAAAATAAATTTGCTATCGATTAAATGATAACAAATATTCGAACATTTTCATATTTATAGAGAAACATATTATACGATAAGCAATCTATGCTAAACCATAGAAAATATACTTAAAATATATTTATATTATCTTAATCTATGACTAAATGAAATAACCATAATTATCAATGTTTCAGTACTAAGTTATGGGTATTTTATATATTCAAAATAATAATATTACTGACAAAAATATATAAAATTGTAAAAGCAGTTTCGGTGCCCCCCTAAGAATGGTACCCTAGGTGACCACCAGAGTCACCTTAACCTCACACCGGCCCTGGTTATTCCTTCCAGAAAATCCTACGTTATAAATTATGATAATATATCGACAAAATAAGTTTTATTAACAATGTTATTTTTCATATCTATTTCCACTTACATAATGAGTGAACAATAATTATTATTATTATTGGCTCCGTGATGGCTCTTCGATCTTTCTCCGATACAAAACTGCTGCTGCTTCTCGATTTCCGTTTCTCTTTTGTAATGTAATCACATAATATTATAGTTAATTGCATATCCTGAACGCTCGCTGATTCTCATAACGGTCATAACAGTCATAGCACTCATAACAATCGTCGCTATGCCGTCAATCATCATACTTAATAAAAATGATTTTGAATGTAGTGCCTTGCTAGGTCATAACAACTGTGGTGGTATAATATTACTACCTACTTGGAGGATACATTGACTTTGAACACAGAATAGATAAAACAAATTGATTAACCAAGTTTTTGTTTTTATAGAATGCAAAGGAAAATATTATTATAAGTATTTATTTACGAAACTTTAAATTAAACATTTCCTAAAAATACCGAAATCAATGTAAAAACGCACCGTTCCACTAGTTTTTTAATTGTATTTTATTATTTAAATGCTGGAACATTTTTTTATTTGACATTAATTTTTTTTTTAAATAAAATAATATTTAATATTATCTTTCCGGTAAATGTTGAATTGAATACGATTAGATTATAATATTATTATTATTTCACTATAAATAGTCTATTGATATAATCGTTATTTATACTTTTTTTTTTTGAAATATAAAAAATAAAATTGAATGTGAAGGGTTTGTATAACTATACTGAATACGAGTTTTCCATGTATCATATTATTATTGTAATAAACTCATGAGCACCAGATCAAAATAATATTAAAGTCAGTTAGGTTTGAAAACAAGACACACTTCAAATGGTGATGTCTATAAGTACTTACAATATATTAAGGAAAAATGTTAAGATCTGTATTGAACACATTTTTATTTTGTTCTTCATAAAGTAAGTATACAAAATAACTTTAAAATAAAATTTGTAAGTAGATAACTACATAGTAAATTAATTTGGTTATATTTTAGTTTAGAAACGTTTACATATTTCAAGTATTATATGCGTAGAACGAAGATATCAAAATCAAGGGCACTCTGAGAAAGTAAATATATGTTTATAGTGTTTATATTCGTAAAGATTGGCCTCTCTTTTTAAACGTGAATTCACGTAAAAACCAAACTAAATATTATCATTTTTTTGGTTTTACAATGCTGTTTATTTCTTTTTTTTCTTTGTTCTAGTCTGTGGACACATTTTTTCTTAACAAACTTGCTTCGATTTTTATGTGTGATAATTTTTTTGAAAGTTATCTAAATTGTACTTAAAACAGGTCATTTTTTTGATTTTCGGTGCCATTTTTAAATAAAAGCATTTAAGTGGGAAAAAACGTAAAAAACATACAATTTTATGTTTTCATTATTTTATAAAAACACGGACATTTTCTACCAGGAAAAATGATTTAATCGAAAAATCACAAGACGTCTTTTTGTTGCCTTTTTGATTTAATTTCTTAAGGTATCATCGTCAAAAATTTTGAGCCACTTTTAAACTTTTAAGTAATTTTAATTTGTAGGAGTTTTTTTACTGTAATTCGGTGATAAATACACGTAGAGACTTTAAACTTGGTAATAATACTTATATTGGACTTGCCTAGACGTGGTCAAATTTCCAAAATCATCAGACGGCTTTTTCTCCTTTTTTTATAAGGGTTTTGAAATCAAATTTAAATGAAAATCACAAAAAAAATTTACGGCACTTTAAATTATGTATTACCGAACTGCACTCGGAATCGTCTTTCGTCAGCAATAGTTTATCGTTGCTTACAGATAAAAACGAAATAACCTTATGTATCCTACCTTCCCAGTTTTTCACCTCCTATCCTCAGTATCAGATCTTTTTTATTATTTGTTTTTATGCTATCTCATTATTTCAAATAAACACGTACGACGTTTTATACCAGAAATAGTTCTCAAATGGAAAAATGACAAGAGACCTTTTTTCGTTGCATTTTGAAGAAAAATTCATAATAATAAAATTTGAAATATAATTTAATAAACATATTAATATAAAGCATTCTTAGTGGTATTTTAGGGAGGTTTGATTTTCTCAAGATTTTTCCAATAAATGGGAAAAACAGTGAAAAAAAGGAAAATTTACAAAAATAATGCTTTTATAATAAAACATTTTTTTTTTTGTTCTTTTTCTTATTTAGCTTAAAATGTTTACAAAGACTTGAAATTTGAACAGCAAATTTATGTTTACCGTTTAT